TAATCATACATGCAATTGGATATATATTTTTTTAATCCAGAATTGGATCCTTTTCTCAACCAACAATGATTTAAGAAGAAAAAAGACAAGAGGTAGGATTATTCATATATCAGATGGGATCATGTTGTGTCTGTGATGTCTGAATGGATCGGCAAAAGGAAGCAAAGCTGAAAATCACTTACCTTTATGGATTGGAGGGAGGAAAGGCTTGGAAGAAGAGGTTGTGTTTTTGAGACCTTTGTACCTTTACTCACAGAATCCCTACATATTCAGTTTTTCTATGTTCTTAATTAAAAGCAATAAGGCTCAGAGAGAACATGCTTTTCTATAGCAAAACTAGAAAAAACATACCTAAATTTACATATATACAAATATGCATATTATTTACATATACATATATTAACACAAATATATATATTTATGTAAACATGTATATATATATTGTATGTATACATATGTGTGATAGATATATATAAACTCATGAGTTCACACCTCTAATTCCAGTGCACCCTCATATAGGGTTCCTTCTTTACTCCCCACCCATATTTGATTTCCCTTTCCTATGTGAGAATTTTAGCTTCCAACAGCATGAACACATTTCCACATTTGCCCAATGCCACAATACCTCTAAAATAGTTTCAAAATTGCTTAACATATCCACCACAAGATGAATAAAGTATATATACTAAAAATATCCAGGAGTTGGTTTCAATTCTCCCCTACTCAACCTCACCCAAGAAGGAAGGTAAATAGTCAAATAGTGTGTCCATAAGTTACTTGAATTTTTTTTCTTTTGCTTTTTCCTCTTCCATGTGGTTGTAGTATTTATTTGAAATATAGTTGGGTTTGCCGGGACCGGTTTGGCTCAATGGATAGAGCGTTGACTTGGGAACTGAAGGGTCCCAGGTTCAATTCCAGTCAAGGGCATGTACCTTGGTTGCGGGCATATCCCCCATAGGGGGTGTGCAAGAGGCAGCTGATTGATGACTCTCTCTCATCGATGTTTCTTACTCTCTATCTCTCTCCCTCTCTGTATAAAATCAATAAAATATATGAAATATAGTTGGGTTCATTTGTTTCCACTTGTTTTCAGTTTTAGATGTACTTTTTTTTTCCCCTTCCCATCTTGCTTTAATTTTATTTTTGAAAATATAGAACATTAACAAGCTTCCAAAAGCCAAAATGATACAAAATTATATATATACTAGAGGCCTAGTGCATGGGGGTGGGAGGGGTTCCTCAGCCCCGCCTGCACCCTCTCCAACCCAGGACCACTGGCTTCTGACTGCTCCCCTGCCAGCCTGGTCACCCCTAACCGCCTCTGCCTCGGCCCCCCCGCCACTATGGCTTTGTGCAGAAGGACGTCCAGATGGATGTCCAGAAGACATCCAGTCTAATTAGCATATTACTATAGATCAGTGGTCATCAAACTGCAGCTCACGAGCCAGACAGAAGGCCCCCAGACCAACTCTTAGCTGCAATAGTGAGTGAGAAAGCCACCATCTCTCTCTTCAAACCTCAGTTATATCTCAAATCCTCATAATGTACTTACTAAAATTAGTGAACCTCTACAGATACTAGTTCTTTAGAATGGTAATTTCTATACATCATTACCTTTTGAAAGATGGTCTGGAGCTGTACTATCCAATACAGTAGCTACTAGCCACATGTGGCTCTTGAATCCTTATAATGTGGCTAGTATCACTGAGAAACTAAATTTTCATTTGATTTAATTTAATTTATATTTTTTAAATGGAAGCAGTATAAAATATTTTTCTATTGAGTCCAGCTTCATTGTTTTGGAGAAGACTACATTTTATTGCATATCACTATTGTATTACAGTGTGTGGTTCCATTTTATTTATTTTTAATGTAGCTACTAGAAAATTTATGTGTGTGAAGAGAGAGAGAGAGAGAGAGAGAGAGAGAGAGAGAGAGAGAGAGAGAGACTCATATAGTAGTTTTCATTGAAATGTGGGTCTCACTGGTTTGGCTCAGTGGATGGAGCAGCCTGCAGACAGAAGGGTCCCGGGTTTGATTCCAGTCAAGGGCACATGCCTGAATTGTGGGCTCGAACTCCAGTAGGGGGCATGCAGGAGGTAGCCGATCAATGATTCTCTCTCATCACTGATATTTCTGTCTCCCTCTCCCTCTCCTTTCATCTCTGAAATCAATAAAAAATATATTTTTAAAAACTCAGTGTGGGGCAATGGAAGCTAAAGAGAAAATAAACAAATGGGACTACATCAATATAAAAAGCTTTTTTTACAGCAAAAGAAACCATCAACAAAACAACAAGAAAGCCCACTGTGTGGGAGAACATATTTGCAAATGTTACCACTGATAAAGGTTTAATCTCCAACATCTACAGACAGCTTATACAACTATATAAAAGGAAGATAAATGATCCAATTAAAAAATGGGCAATGGACCTAATATCGGGTCTAGTAATAATTAATGTCGTTTTAAAACATTCGTTTAAAATCTTGCTTGGCGTTGACTTGTATTGACATAACCTTCAAACACGTGGTATCTACAGAACGTGTGAAGTGCAATTAACAAGTTTTGCTTGAAAAAGTTTGTGTTTGGTTTGGTTTTTGTTGCAAAACTAGGGCTAAGAAGATGGCGGATGAAGAGCATATTCGGCACTGCATGCTTTACGAGTTCCAATTAGGAAGAAAAGCAAGTGAGGCTGCAAAACACATCTGTAGCGCTCTTGGTCAAGATGCAGTTAGCGCCAGAAAATGCCAGCGTTGGTTTGAGAAATTTCGCGAGGGAAATTTTTCGTTAGATGACAAGAGTGGTCGAGGCCGTGTGTCCAATTTTGATCAAGAAGCTCTTCAAGCTCTTTTGGTGCAAAATCCTCAAATTACCCAACAAGAGCTTGCGACAGCTTTAAATTGTTCACAAAAAACAATTTCCAATCAATTGCGTGCACTTGGCAAAGTCCAAAAGTTTGGAAAATGGGTTCCTCATGAGTTGACCGACAACAACCATAATCAAAGAGTCACAATTTGCAGTTCGCTCCTCTCTCGTCAAAACCGTTTGCCGTTTTTAGAGCAAATTGTTACCGGAGATGAAAAATGGGTGCTGTATGTTAATTTGAAAAGGCGGCCTCAATGGTTGGACAAAAATGAGGCTCCGCAGCCCACGCCAAAACCTGACTTGCATGCGAAAAAAGTGATGTGTGTTTGGTGGAATTTTAAAGGAATTCTTCATTATGAACTTTCACCATCTAACCAAACCATTACAAGTGCAGTGTATAGTGCCCAATTGGAAAGGTTAGCCCAAGCTTTAAGAGAAAAAGAACCCGCGCTGATTAATCAGAAGGGCGTAATTCTTCACCACGATAACGCACGACCGCATACTGCAAGAATCACTGCTGAAAAACTGCGCCAGTTGGAATGGGAAGTTCTCCCTCAACCTGCATATTCTCCTGATATTGCCCCTTCCAATTACCATTTGTTTCGTTCTTTGCAAAACTTTCTTCTTGGAAAAAAATTTAATAATGAAGAATGCCTCAAAATGCATTGACGGAATTTTTTGCATCAAAATCACAAGAATTTTACAACAGAGGGATTAAAATACTTCCTGAGTGTTGGGCACAAGTAGTAGAAAACAACGGCAACTATATTGTTGATTAAATTTTGTTGTATTGTTTAAATAAATTCGATTTTAAAAAGTATTAGAAACGACATTAATTATTACTAGACTAATAGAATATTTTCAAAAGAAGACAGAAGGAAGGCCAAAAGGCCCATGAAAACATGCTCAAAGTCACTAATTATCTGAGAGATGCAAATCAAAACAACAATGCGGTACCATCTCACACCTGTTAGAATGGCCAACATCAACAAATCAACAAACGACAAGTGTTGGCGAGGTTGTGGAGAAAAAGGAACCCTCGTGCACTGCTGGTGGGAATGCAGACTGGTGCAACCACTGTGGAGAACAGTGTGGAGTTTCCTCAAAAAACTGAAAATGGAACTCCCATTTGACCCAGTAATCCCACTCCTAGGAATATATCCCAAGAAACTAGAAACACCAATCAGAAAGGATATATGCACCCCTATGTTCATAGCAGCACAATCTACAATAGCTAGAATCTGGAAACAGCCTAGGTGCCCGTCAGCAGATGATTGGATCCAAAAACTATGGTACATCTACACAATGGAATACTATGCTGCTATAAAAAGAAGGAATTCTCATCATCTGTAGCAACCTGAATGGAATTGGAGAACATCATGCCGAGTGAAATAAGCCAGTCAATGAAAGAGAAACACCACATGACCTCACTCATTTATGGATAATAAAGAACATTATAAACTGATGAACCAAAAGATAGATATAGAGACAGTAAAGCAACAAGCTGACTGTCAAATTACAGCCGGGAGGGTAGGGAGGTCTGGGGGAGATAATAGATCAACCAAAGGACTTGTATACATGCATATAAGTACAACCAATGGACATAAAACTCTGGGGAGGGAGGGTATGTATGGGAGGGGAAGGGGACAATGTTAAAATATGTACACAAATAATAATTTAATTAAAAAATGTATTAAAAAATAAAATAAATAATACTCAGTGTGGTCTGGTCAGCATCATGTGGGAACCATCCCAGACTTCAGAATCTGCTAGTTTACAAAGACACTCTCCCAACCAGATGATTCTCATGCTCAGTCATAGAAGCACTGAGCTGGATGCCTTAGAAGGTAGGTACAGGGAGTTGGTGGAGGGGAGAGAGAGAGGGAGAAGCAGGGAGATCCCTGCCTGCCACTGTGATGTCACAAAGTAAACCTCATGTGTCAGCCAGCCCCGCCCTGACTGGTGTTCTAGCTGCGGGACATCCTTTCCATCCTCTCCAGACCACCTCACACCACCGTAGCCCTCTGCAGGCAAGGGGAGCCTGATTCATCTTCACAGTAGATACTCATTCCACTCAACCAGCTAAAACAGAGAAGACAAACTGAAACATCTTTGACTCAGAACTTCAAAAGTGAATGAACAAGTTCTCTCAACTGACTCAAAATGTTTGTCTCACCCAGAAGGTAGGTACCTTTATTTTTGAAATTTCATGACTACCTCATGTGTTATCCCTTCTCTCATGTGTATCCCAGAATATTGGATTTGTAATACAGGTTATACAAATTCATCAATTTTTTTCACAAGCTTACGGTAAAGAGCTTGAGAACACACTATAGGATTACACAAAACGGAATAAAAATATATTATTTTTAAGCCCCAGTTTTTATGGATAAACCCAGAGATGTCCATACCTTGGCCTCTTGCTCTTTCATCCTCTTATATTAAAACTTCCATTTCTTCTTCCTTTGCCTTTTCATCTTACTTTTCCTCTCTGTTCCCAGAGCTTCTTAAAGCCCTAGCTTTTCTTGTTTTCCTTCCATCTGTATGATTCTTGTTGGCCAAATTCTGGCTCCTGCTAAAAGACCCAGTAGTGGTGGGAATGAAAAAGATGTAGAACTGAAAGAGTAGATATTAAGTTCTCTTCCAAAGAATGATGGGGCTCCCCACACCCCACCCCATCCCACCCCACCCTCCCCACCCCCACCCCCATTGTCCTGCTGAAAGCCAGCTCCAATCTGCTGGAACTAAGGAGAGCATAACCTTAAGATCTTTTGATCTCTGAGAATCTGTGAGAATCTGCAGGGGTCCTCCCAGATGCTGGAAGAGGCTCATTAGGGTAAAACTTATATCTGTAAGTAACTTGCCCCCCATTTGAAAAAGTTGGGGACTACCAAACTTCAGCTCAAAGGTTCCTAAGAAAGAGTTTTCATTATATATCTTGCCATTCTCAAGAGAGAAAAATGAAGCTGGTAGCTAGAGAAATAACACACCACACACACAGGCACAGAGCAATGTGGTATGCTGCTCTCTGGCTGGAAATTAGGGGTCTCAGAAGAAAGGATAAGATAAGGCCTAAAAAGGGACACTGTGGGACTGCAGAGCAGAGCTAATGATTCATTCTGAGGAGCCATCCGTGTGGGCTCACTGCTCCCTACCTCAGAAGCAGCCCCAAAGTGACTAGATGTTCAATTGAAGAATCCTCAAAATCGGATAAGACTCTGATAGAAAGAGCCAGCCAGAGTAAATGTTGTTTACCACTGGCTTATGAGGAGAGACTCAGGGAGTGTGGGAGAGTCTGGTTACCAGTTTTACCTGAAGTATAAAAGCACACTTAATCCATTGCCTCATTCTGGGTGAGTTTCCACTCTCTGGCCTGCAACGTGAACCATTTGATAAGGTGGCCATGCCTTCCCCTTTCCCCGAGGGGCAGCCTGCGGATGAGTCAGGCGCTTACTAGCGCATGGCCTGAGCAGTCAGCTGCTCCGAACCTGATCCCTCAGGTTATGAGGATTCCAGCAGATGCTCCTGAACCGTCTGGCCAGGTGTTTGGTGCACGGTATGGGTTCCCTTCCTCAGCTCGTTTCTCCTCATTTAACTCTGAGGACATCGTCCCTTGGTGAGAAAGGACTAGAGCTCAGGTCGGCTTAGGGGTTCGTGGCCCCAACATTTCACAGAAGTGAGGCAAAGACATGGCCTGGTTTTATATTGCAGGAGCTAGGGGCCCAGAAACGACAGGCGCAGGGCGATGCCTGACACTGGGGTCCACAGGCCTGGGTGGGGGCAATTCCTCGGATGACCCGGTCCCAGCGCTCCCCGCCACCCGCCCCTCCCAACGGCCTCACTCGCAGCCCCCGCCCAACTCGGCGGTCCACGTGGCAGCGATCAGGCCCCAAGACCACCCGCCCTCCGGCTACTCCCGATGGTTCCTTCGCTGGGAGGTTCCTTCGCGGTTCTCCCAAGACGCGGAGGGTGGTGAAGGGAGGAAGAAAGGACCCGCTCCCCGCCCCGCCCTCCGGGAAGTCCACGCCCCGGCCGCTAGGGCGGGACCAGCCAAACAATGCAAAACACTCTCGGGCGCGTCGCCGTGGTAACAAGCGCCCGTTGCTAGGCGACCCGGCGCCGTAGTAAACCCGTGCGCGGTGTTACTCATCCAGGGAGGGGGGCTATGGGGAGTTGGCGAGGACTGGGCCGGGCTCCCGCTACCAGACTGCTGGGGGAGGGGGGAGGAGAGGAAGGGCAGGAATAGAAGGGATGAGGGCGGCTCACCAGGAACGGAAATGGGGCGCCCTGATCGCCCCTCCAGAGGCTGCTGGCATTGGGCCCGCACCCCGGCCCCCGCCCCGCTTCCCCAAGAGCCTAGGGCCCAGCAGGGCCCAGGGCTCCGTGACCCGCGCGTGAGCGATTGCCCCACAGGATGTGCAAATGTGGCTGACCCTCTGATTCACTCCAGATGCTTGGGACGTTGAATAAGGCGGCTTCCTCTCCTGGAAATGACTGCTGGAGCTAGAGCCCTCAAACAATTACATTTAAAAAGCGGAAAGGGAAAGGCGACGACGCAAAGGAGAGGCCCCCAAACGCTTTTCTGAGGTCCTTGCCACTGAACATAAAAGTATTCCCAGAATGTAGGACCCATGTGAGGAAGAAAGGAGTCGTTGTTATTTCTGTGAGCATTTGAGGCCATGTGGACATTAAACATGGTTACAGTTGAGACTGACCCGAAGCTGGGAAACCCCAGAGCTAAGTGTCCAAGAGTGACGTGAATAGTTTGGACTCTCAGTATGGGCATTTTGCTGGCATGACTCTTCCCTTCCAGTGTCAAAATGTCTTGTGTGAAGATCTTATGTTATCCTCATCAGTGAACACTTAAATAGGAGAAACTGAAGTAAAGATAGATCTCATTATCGCAGCAATATCTCAGATGCTTCAAAATACATCATCTATACAGGCTCTGATCCCCAGGGAATCACTGAGCTTGGGAAAGGACAAAACATTTCCAAACTCTCACTGGCTTTTGAGCAATGTGTTTGTACCCTGGACTCTGCAAACCAAAGATAATACTTGTTCATGAGATCACTGCTGTTATCTGGGCTTTGGTCATCCAAAAGCAGGAATGTTTCCACAGGTGGGAGGAAATGCATTGGCCGGGGATCTGTTTAGTGACACTAGGGGTGCATCTGTGTAGGAAGGCAGAGGGTGTGTCTGTGGATCTGTGGACTCTCGCTGCTGTTACATATGTGAATCAGGAGGATTCCCATCTCCTTCAGCAACCGGAGGCTGTGGGACACTTTTCTTTATTCACATCTTATCTTCACCTGATAGACTCCCTAACTGTATCCATGGGCCTCCTTTCCATTACACATTCATGGATGTTAGACAGAGCTCGGCCCCAAGGATCAACAATGAATAAAACCTGGCTGCTACCATATCTAACTGCTAACGTCATGCAAGCATAACAGACGAGTAAACCATGTGATGAGTTACAAGACAGGAACACAGAATATGCAGGAATAGGTACATGTAGATCAGAGCCAGTGAGAGCCCACACATTTACACCCCACTCCAGCCTTTTACCTAGTGAGTAACAGAGAGGAGCGCGTTAATAGGTGTGGGCCAGAAATCTGACTCCTGGGAGAAGGACAGAGAACTACTGCCCAGAAGGGCAAGTGAATCTTTGTTGGGAGAATACGTCTGTATGGATAGTGGGGAAAAGAAAAGAAAACAAAACAAACAAACAAACCAAACAACAACAAAAAAACAGCTGTAACCTGAGCCCCAGGCTTTGTCCTTAGGGAAGTGGTGTGCTATACAGTCTCCTCTGGCTCAGCGTGCTTGCCCATTGTTCTAATCCCCTCTTATCTACAATGGAGTCACAAATTGAATTCCTGTTTACACAGTATGTGTAGGTGTCCAGAGACCCTTGTTTCTCTTATAGATGCCGATGAAATATGGTTTTGTACCGTGTGAGGAACAGTGTCTGAGCACCTTACAAATATAGTTGGTCCCAACCCTTGGCTTTGTGATGTCATCAACACTGAGTTGCATATCTATCCCTGTGGGGCTCATCCTGAGATGGTAACAGTCCAGCGTACAGAAGTTAAATACTGTTTTGAGATGTGGAATCTTCGTGTCTGTGCTGAATCATGAGCTTCTGAGCTGAACCTAATTATATTTATGTTGCCTTGACTAGCAATTATTTCTTCTGTTCTAAGAGAGGAAAGAGGAGAAAAAAAATATTAACACGCCTAAATTACAATGAAAGGAAGTGAGTGGGATGCTAGGCTCTGATTTTTGTGGCCAGGCACAAAACTCATGTTTTGCCAGAGAGAGGAAATTAGACATTGTGGCCCAGGATCCTTGGGATTGGGGGGGGGGGGGGGGGGGGGAGCGGGGTGTGTGGGATCTCAAGCTGGAGCACAACTAGTAGCCAGCCAGCCAAGCACTTACACAAAATGATTAGCCTCCTAAGGGGGTAGATTTGGGCTTTGGAGAGGCCTAAAATAATATAATTTTGGAGGCACTCTTTAAGAAAAAGAATACAACATGACAAGTACAAATTAGGTAGCAGGGTCTTGGGAGGGGCCTGCAAAAGGGGGAATGATGAAGTTGAAGTTTCATTCGTTATATTCTAAATCCACCTCTAGGCCTCCTCATGTAAGACTCGGCCACTCCCATCGGCTTCTCCCTGGAGAAGGCAAATGTCAGTCTATTAAGACACAGGGGGGTGCGGTTTATGAGCAGAGGCAATAAAAACCAAAGACATGAGGCTGTGCCAAATGGTGACTCAAGCGGGATATGAGAGTGCCTGCAAGTATTTGAAGGGTGTCAGCAGAGAGAGGGGGAAAGAATTGTTCACTGTTCTGGAGTGGACAGAGAATGAGGGTGCAGCTAAGTAAATAAGAATGTGCACAGAATTCATTGGGGAACACCAACAACTGTACCTTTTGATACTGTGGTGTAGCATTTCCCATGGGGAGGACTTAAGGATCGACTGAATCACCAAAAACTGACATTGGCCACAAAAAAAAAAAAAAAAAAACGTGCTAAAGGAAACAATCCTGATTCATGCGGAGCCCTGAATTCCATAAGGCTGACACATGTGCTCTATAGATTAGCGTGGGGGGCAGGCCAACGGAGCAAAGGAGAACAATCCGGAAGGAAGGAGCCACCACCTCACCCACAGTGGATGACTGGTGAGGAGCATGTGACTAAAGAGGAAGAATCTGAGGAGATGGTGCCACCCAGCGTTGTGATGACTACTGTAGCCAGGAAACCAGCAGCCAATTCCATCATGAACTGTAACCACAGAATTCCTGCTCCCCGGTCCCGGCAGATACGGAGTTCTGTCACAACAAATAAAAGGGTCACTGGGTGATTCGGGAATTGTGCCTGGGCACAAGCATATTGCGTCAAAGAGGCTGCTCACATCAGTGTGAGAAGAACAGAGAACATATTGGGTGACAGAAGTGAGATCCAGAGAGGCTCCTTTGGCTAAACGGTAGAATAATTGAATAATTCAAACACTCTGAAGAGAGCCTGCCTTTGATTCCCTAAGCTGACTGCACAAATACAGAATAGGGAAAAACCTTCACTTGGTTGATGGTGAGTCTGGAAGAGGTGGGAGAAGGGTAGGGCAGGGAATAGAGGGTTTCATAAATGTAAGCCCAAAATGAGTCCAACAGGTGTTACTTTAAAATATACTTTTATTGGTTTCAGAGAGGAAGGGAGAGGGAGAGATAGAAACATCAATGGTGAGAATCATTGATCGGCTACCTCCTGCTATCAGCTACTTCAATGCAGATAACACTGTTCTCATCAATGGTAAGAATCATTGATCAGCCCCTACTGGGGATGGAGCCTGCAACCTGGGTATGTGCCCTGACCTGGAATTGAAGCAGAACCTCCTGGTTCATAGGTTGACAATCAATGAGCCATACCAGCCAAGCCAGGTGTTATTTTAATTCCCTGGTTATATATTTTTTCAGTCTGTTCAGATTTTTACTGATTGTTAGGTCAGAGTGGTAGCATACAAGTTGCTTACATGTGGAGCCAGAAACAAGAAGTCAATCCTGGGTATATACTAAGAATGTCCTAAAATTACAGATTCCAGACCTCACCCCAGAACTACTATGGAATCTGAGTATAGGGGTCCAGAAATCTATATCTTTTCCAAAGTTTCAGATAGTTCTGGTGCTTAATCAGAATGGAGGAGTATTGCTCTCAATAAGAGGAATTTATAATTAGACAAAGCGTCATGACAGGTGTACAGTGTGACAAGGAAAGAGAGGAGGGAATGGTTCCCATTCATTTTTAAAGAATGAGTGACTTTCACACTAATCTTAATAAGAGACAGATCACCAAGTAAGAAGGTAATACAGAATGTCTCCCACCCTTGTCATCCTAATTAGTATGATTTTTGAGGACAGAAAGAACAACAAGAATATATGCAATCAACACCTTATTCGTTTGTCAGATTTCTTTTTTTAAGCTTTAAAAACCATCCTATATAATAAAAGCCCAGCAACTATATGGAGGAACAACCAGTTGACCAGTCTCTATGATGTACACTGACCACGAAGGGGAAGACACTCAATGCAGGAGCTGCCCCCTGGTGGTGTGTCCCTCAGCTGACAGAGATGAGTGGCACTCTCACAGCGGGTCAATCCCACAGGCCACACACCCCCACCAGTGCACTGGGCCTCTAGTTTAAAATTAAAATAAAAATTGTCATTCCTTTGCCTGGAGATCAGAGAGAAATGGTAGATAGCTGTAGCATTGCTGACCCTGGAATTTGTCTCCTAGCCTACTCCATCTGCATCCTCACCACATCCTCAACCAACACTCTGACTGCCTCAACATTCCATGCAAAGGGATGATGTTAATAATCCTTAGTTAGGATGCTAACTGAAGGGTGGAGACCACCCAAGATACCAGGAAGCTATTTCATATCCATGAGTTCTATGAGGCTCTGACATTGCAGATAATAGAGCTTATTAAAGAGATGGAAAGCCCTACATAAGGGAATGAAACCTTTGCATTAATGGTGATCCTGTAATATTTGTGTGTCTGCCACAAAATGAGGCCCAATCCATTCACACCAGTTACCTAGGGAATGGCAGTGGAATGGAAACTAAATCATCACTTTGTAAAGAAATGTCCCTCTGTGGGTGCAGGTCTTTGCTTTTCTGTGATTAATCCCAGATCCCCATTGGCAAACGCTCCCATGTAATCTCCAGAACAGCTGGGCCATGATTGTATTGTCAATTATTAAATGCCCAAGTTTCCTGCAAGGCAGCTTTTAATCATGCAGCACTCCAAAGAGAGAGAGAAATGGAAGAGGAGGGATGGTAGGGGGTGGGAGGAGAGGGTGGGAAGGCTGGTTTTCAATTTTTCAACATTAAATCAAAGAGATTTGGAACTCAGATGGCATCCTGCAGTCCTTCCACACAAGCTGCAAGAGTCTGACCATGGCCAAGGTAACCAGCTTCGCCTTCTTATTGCTCAGAGCATACATTGCATAGTTATTTTGCACCTGATTCTTCTAAGAGGTGTGTCTGTCTCATCAATTTGTTGTCTATGTTAAGCCTATGTTAATTATGAGTTTTTCTGTTAACCAATGTTGATGGAAGAATTAGTGATATTTTGGTTCCTATACACTTCCTAATGATCTGAACCCAAGTGTCAGGAAGTCACTCATTGTCCCTTTTTTGTGGAGTAGAATCACCTTGGCATGGTGCTTGTCAGCACATGCAAAGATATAACTTTTCTTATGGCTGCTGCTTCTTCATGATCACCTTAAGGAAACCCCTGAAAAGTTAAATTTGTTCTTCCATTCAAGAGGTTTGTGGATCCTGGAGGGGGGAAAAGGCATATTTTTTTTTTGGGGGGGGGGTGATGAGGCAACATATGATGCCCATATCTAGCAATGTAAGATGTTTCTGGGAAGTAAGATGTGATGGGAAGTACGGGACTATAGGTGTCAAAAGATAATTCTTGAATGAGGGTCCTTATGTCTATCCTTGGTGGACACCCCTTCTGAAAGAAGCCTCTTTTCATCTTTTGTTTTTCAAATCACCTTTCCTTAAATTCATTGTCACTTTGGTGCTGCAAAGTGGTGGTACATGGTGTGGGGTTTATTATTCTTATTTCTGAATAACCTGCAGAACTTAAAAAATATGTGTAAATTGAAATGGATTAAGGGTAGAATTAAAATCTGATGTGATATGATGGTGATAAATTTCCAAGCCACCAAAGACTGAAAATAAAGTTGTTGAAAATGTAGACTTGCCTAAATCCTTAGACAAAATGATTAGTGAAGATGTTTTATCTGGAAGTCTATTTCCTATCCAGGCAATAGACAGGAAGATAATTAGAAAGGGTAACTTATGTAACAGAATAATAACTAAAACCAATAGGATTTTCATGACTAAAAACAAGATCAAAACATTTTTTTTTGGGGGGGGGGGTGATGAGGCAACATATGATGCCCATATCTAGCAATGTAAGATGTTTCTCCCTTCCAGGTGCTGTGGTTTGTCAGTCCTTACTAAGATCACCCAGAGTCTTGCACAGTCTGACAATTCTTGTTGGATTTAATTTATTTTGAGTACTTAAAAAAGAAAAACTGAATTAGCAGATTGCTTTCCAGAAACAGTTTATCATGTTTTGTATATTGGTTTTCATATACATATGAGTAGTGTGTATTTCTTATTGCCATAAAATAATCCACGTTTTGTTTGTAGCCTGCACTGTTTTAGTCCCTGGAAAGTCTAAAGAATAAACTGTTATATTTCTGAGATAAAGTTCTCTGTTAAATCTAGAAAACGTTAAACTGGAGATGATGAGAGGCAGATTAATGGGCCTATCCCATTTAGCTATAGTTTTATTTACGTCTCTTAAGCTAAGCAGATTTGGGTCTGATTAATTCTGCTATGAGAGATCCCCTGAAAAAAGCTCAAGATGGTTTACTTTAAGAAGCATCTGTCAGCAGCTAAGTATGGGCTTCCTTTCCATTCAGAATGTATTAACACAATTGTGTAAACATTCCATTACACAAAGTGCAAGACCTGTCAAATTTATTTTTGTTAAATCTGGCTCCAAGCCACCACTCCCCAAAGTTGAAATGTCTAGCATTGGTCATTCTTCAATTAGCCCTTCTCTTAGACTAAAAATAACAAGGTCAGGGCCTCTCCCCAGAGCCACACGGGCCACAGACCTTTCTGCTGCCACACCCTGTGTCGCAGCTGTGAGTCAGGCAGTGCCTCTCAACAGGCCGAAGTCACCCTTTCCATGGCTCCATGGCGGGGGCACTTGGTGAGCAGCCTCCATGGGCACCAAGCAGCCATCTCCCATTTGATTCCTGCATCTCAGTGGCCGTGGATGGAAAGCTGAACCCAGATAACCAGGTCTCTCAGAACCCACAGCTCCCTCTGCTCTCACTCCAGTGGGCCTACTGTTTCCTTTTATCCCCAAGGCCTCATCCCTGTGATCCAGTTAACCATTGGCTATTAGGACATATCTTTCCTTGCTCCCCGCAGAGGAATCTATGATGCAGGGAAGAGGTCAGCGAAAACTCAATTACCATAACAGACACCTCAGCGAGTCAGCCCTACTACCTTTCACTGCAGACAACACCAAAAATGATGACCAGAGAGAGCATTTAGAGTGCTCCCCGTTCTTTTTCTCAACCTGATCTATTGCCTAGCCTCAGTGGCCTCATCCCATTATGACTGAGGTGATTCTCTGATGCCCCTTTCGATCATCCTTAGTAAGCATTTTAGTATAAAACGGTCTGGCTTAAATAAACATAATCACCAGGGTGCCTACCCCGGGCCACCTGAAGGCTCCTTGGAGGAAACTCAAAGCGGCTGGTAGTGCCGCCGGCAGGTTGGAGGAAAGGAGCCTGAGCTTAGGGAGCCTCAGGGAAGGATGTCCCGATCTCCCAGGAGGATCTGAAAGCAGGTTTTCCCCTTGTCTGTCTGTTACAGATGGAGCTCCCGAAGGTCTTCTCTGGCCAACGGACATTCCTATTTGCCATCCTCAACCTGCTATCACTCAGCTTCTCCACAGCATCCCTGCTCAGCAACTCCTGGTTTGTGGACACACAGAAGGTGCCCAAGCCCCTGTGCAGAGAAAGTCTGGCAACCAAGTGCTTTGACCTGCCAGTGCCCTTGGATGGGGGCGACAGCGGCGACGGCAGCACATCATCCCAGGAGGTGGTGCAATGCAGCTGGGAGACTGGGGATGACCTCTTCTCCTGCCATACCTTCCGGAGTGGCATGTGGCTATCCTCCTGTGAGGAAACTGTGGAAGAACCAGGTATAAGATCCTCCTCATCCCCATCTGCCTGACCGCCCCCTCCCCACATGGGATCTTATAGCCCTTCTACATCCCATCGGCCTCACCCCCAAGCTCAGCATTTCCCACCACTGTACTGTGTGTTTTCTCCTTAGGGGACCCTCTTTTAATAAGGATGAAAGTCCATATGGCTTTTCACTTCCTGTCTGTCTAGTAGACTCACTGGGTTAAAATAGCATTACCCTTAAAGGGTTCCATTTAGACTTTCAACAATATAAGAATTTCTATTCTAGCAAACTAAAAGCCGCTGTTTAGAAACAAAAAGGGAGAGATGATATTATAGGAACAGCCCTGCTCTACCCAGTTGTGACCTTATCGGGATAACTTCATTCCTATAGGACTTGATTTTCTCATCAATGAGATGGATCAGAGTAGATTGCCCTTAAAGCCCCTTCCTTTCCCTCCCTCCTGAAAAAAAGTGTTTTCCCATTCTAAGTATCGATATATAAAAGTCTAATATATTAAGTATCCCTCCAACTGTCCGACTGGTCGTCATGATGCTCATGGACCACCAGGGGGCAGACACTCAATGCAGGAGCTGCTGTGACATGCACTGGCCATTTACAAAGAAATCGCACTGCAGACATGGTGCTGACAAAGCAACAGTTGGCTTTCCCCAAGTGGGAGACAGACCCTGCCACCACCCTGGAGTGGCAGCCTATCAAATTGCAGCCAACACTGCCGAGACCCCATGGCACAAAATGCCACCCACAGCCCAGCCTGGAAACAGTGGCTGTGGGCACTGGGTAATGATGTCATGTAGCAATGCCCAGCTTCCTCTCCCTAGTGACTAGCCTCCTTGGAGTTTCTTCAGCCCAGGGGCACACTTGCTTTATAGCCAGCTGCAAACATTTTACACTTTAACCAAATGTCTGTGAAGTGTTTTCACATGCCTCATCTCATTTGATCCTCACAGAAGTCCTGAAAAAGGTAGATATGAGACTTGGTAGAATCCCTATTTTCTTTTCATTAGCTGGAAAACAGAGATTTAGAAAGTTTAGAAACTTGACCTGACTGAAATGAAGGAAGAAATGGTGAACCTTGCAAATGACTTCAGGTTTTCTTTCTGCACAGAATATAGTCAAACTATATTCAGTTAAATACACAAAATACAGTTAAATATTTCACCCTTTGTTCTCCCATGTGATCTACAATAATCATCTGCTTCGTGTTGATATTTACTGCTGTGTTCCTGATAATTACCTGAAAGAGAAGTTGGGGTGCTTCAGTGGCTGGAAAAAGTTTAGCTAAACCATGAAACAGGTCTAATTAAGCAAGTTTATTTATATATATATATAAAGCTCTCTGGCATAATAGCATGCATGTCTTTCCATCTGTCACTGTTGATCACGAATTTGGTTGCCACTTCTATTATAAAGGGAAAATAGTGAAATTAAAATATTCTAAATAATTTTCTTTCAATGTGCACAAATTCAAGCACCAGGCCTCTAGTTACTTGTAATGTTAAAAGCAGGGTAATTGAAGCTCAGAGAGAATAATTAGGACCTATAAGGATTTCAGGGCTCCAGTGTCAGCATGCACCCTCACACCTGGTCCTCAGGTTAGGAGCAATTAGGTTGAGGTCACCTTCCTTGCTTTCTGCTCAAAGCATTCAAATGTCACCTGATAGTGAAGCTTTTCTAATGACAGACAATTTGCGATCTGCTCCTTCTCCTGGCTTGGGCTAAGGAGAAAAGGAGCCAAAAGAGGAATATAAATGTGTATTGTGCCACTTAATACCACTCCAACTCCAGTCCCTAAACAATTTAGAGCCATTCAGCAAGTGGGACAGCCTCCGAAAATGGCCTGGGTTAACACTGGGGTCATTAACTCTTCCTGGGGACATTAACAGGAGTGGGAACATTTCCCTCTCAGGGAAACATTGTCATCTTCATTATCAGGAATTGAGAAATTAATTTTGGGTGACTCTTATCTATGCCATTCATTCTTCCATGCATTCTTAACTGCTTTCAAAGAGATGTTTACTGTCTGCTGGGCAGGCACTGCATCAGAACAAATGGAGTGGTGCTGGGTGTGGGACTGGGGACAGATTTCCTCCCAACTGTCCCAAGGAAGCACCTCCAAGAAACTGACCCTTGTCTGTTTCAGGGGAGGAATACCGAAGTTCCACTGAACTCACACCACCAACCAAGAGAGGTGAGAAAGGACTACTGGAATATGCCACGTTGCAAGGCCTACATCACCCCACTCTCCGATTTGGAGGGAAGCGGTTAATGGAGAAGCCTTTCCTCCCCCACCCTCCCTTGGGGCTTGTGGCAAGTATGTGTGTGGGTCTGATAACAAATTCAGTTGCCATTGAGTTTGGGGGCTTCTCTGGATCAAAATCGCACTGTGAACTCCTGATTTTCTCTTCTTCTGAGCTCCTAAAGGCTGACACAGATTCCTCCTAGAGCGGCCTTTCATTCACATGCAGGAATGCGAGGAAAGGAACAGCAGGGACAAATCAAGTTCACAAATAGAAAACCACAGCTCTGACCTACTCCTGTTGCCAAGTAACCATGCTGAAAAGCTTAGGTTTTTCCTTTTTTTTCCCTTCCAATAATTTTTTTGTGTCTGTGTAAAATAGAAGGAAAAGGGGAGACATGGAGAGAGGGAAGAAACAAAACTGTCCAAAATTAAGAAAAAAAGAGAAACAACAATGATAAATAGCAAAGCCTATTACAACAAGATTTCAATGACTACTCAAATCTCTCAACAGTATTAACAGTCAATCAATTTTTCTTGATTATATGTTGGGTACCGAGGAGAGTGCTAGCAAAGAACCCCAAATTAAGGAATGTTCCCAGCTGGCTTCAGCTTTGTCTTGCCCTCTCCTTCTCTGATGCTGCAAGGCTTTTCCCTTTTAATAGGCATCACCTAATTTCCCATCTGATTGTTCACCGTCCAGTTATTTAACTGGTGGGTGAAGGTGCCTCTTACTCTGCTTTCCAACAGAGAACCTATGGCTATTGCTGGGAGCCCAATTTGCCTGCAACAGACTTGAACTCGTCGCTTTCCTCCTCCTATTAATGGACCTGCTGTTCACCGGGAACCCGGGCTGCAGGCTCAAGCTGAACACCTTTGCCGCTATCTCCTCTGTCATGTCAGGTGAGCATCCCCAAGGCAGGAGAGGATGGATGTCCTCTGCGCCCTCTGAAGCACTAGCTGGCTGGCTGCTCTCTGCCCTGAGGGGAGGAAAGAGAAACCTTTGGCGGGGTGCGTGTGGGAGGGAAAAGGTATGAGATACATTGCGAGCCTTTTCTATCTTAAATTGAGATAACAAGTGAAATGTCATCTTAGCCCATGGTGTACTTTGTGAAATGGTTTAACCCTAGGTTCTTTTTCTTTGCAAATGTCTCGATGTGTAAGTTAACTTGGCTTACTTTTCCATTGTGACACACAGAGCTTTTCAAGACTTGGCTGAAGTAAGAGATGCCTATATCTGATCAAGAATAAAGCTCACAATTTGGGTATGGGTGGGCAGAAGTCAAGGGGAACATAGTCCTGAGTGCAGCATTGACTCAGACGTTCTCCGTAGCTCTAAAGTCTGGGGCAGCCTGTTGCAGAAAGTCCCCCTGCATTCAGGAAGTCCCTCTGATAGATTCCTCTTCCTGTCTTCCTGGACCTGTGACTGCATCTGATACACAATGAGAAGGTTGCTCTGAATTCTAGTTCCCTATAGATGGCAGCCTTTCTCTAAAGGTGCTGCCTTCCTGCTCCCTCTGTAGGCCTCCTGGGGATGGGGGCCCACATGATGTATTCACGAGTCTTCCAGGCAATGGTCAACTTGGGTCCAGAAGACTGGAGGTCACATGCTTGAAATTATGGGTGGGACTTCTAGTAAGTGCTTACCATCATCTCCTGAGCTTTTGGGCTTTCCCCCAGCCAACCTTCATTAGAATTGCTTTCCTCAAGTAGACACTTGCTTCATGTTCTTCTACCTTCTCTTCACCCCTCATCCCAGAAGCTTGTCAGTCAAACAGAGGGCTGGACCATCAGACCCATTCTTCCCACCTTCTGAACAGGTACAGAGAGGGTTCTAGTTTGTTTTGTGAGGCTGTTGTCTTGCCTGGTTTTTCTGCTGGTGCAACTGTTGCAATCGCTTCTCTACCTGATAAGTATGTTGTCCTTGGGAAACAAGACTGATTTTGTACGGCTTATAGAAATGATGCTCTATATTTTATATATTTCATGCTTTGAGGTATTAGAGGACAGAGAAATGGTCAATGGGCCTTGAAATTTGGATTGAATTCTATCCCCTGTGAATGGCTTATTTTCCTGTAATGAACACTTGACTTCTTCCTACCTCCATTCTTATTCCACCAAACTGTGTTAGAAATAAAGCTTCCCCTACAGTTATTCTCTAATCCTTAGAAAACTAAGGAATCAGTGATTTTTAGAGATCTCTTTAAAAAAGAGCAGCAGCAACCATGACAAAACAAATGTAGTCAAGATAAACATCTTCTTTGCTTAAGAGTTCCTCACTTTCTCCCTTGAAGCTCATGCTGGATTCAGGCACAGGGGCAACCTGAAGTGACAGTAACTATCTGGATAGTGCTATGGACTTGAACAGTGCTGAAAAGATGCAGCACCAGCTCAAGTTTCTATGCCAAAGAAGGCAATATGGAAAGCTCCACATGTTGGTTACAAGATCCTATCCCTTTTCTCGCTGCATAATGCATGCTATTTGATTCAGGCTGGGTCTTTGGTCTACTTTTCCAACCATCCTATCAGTTTAGCTCATTTCCCAGATTCACTGTTTCTCAACGTTGCCTGTCTCCAAGCCATTGCTGGCATTACTGTAGAGCTCAGTCTGCAAAACTCCCATCCGAAGCCTCCCCAGCCTGAGTCTACTTCGTCTGCCAGAGGCTGCAGACAGGAACACATAGTACCAGCATGTGGCCTGGCTTTAGCCATCCCTTGGCCTCATGAAATCTCTCACTAACCTCACACAGCTTCCTGTTTCCTGGGCCACCCAGAATCACAGGGAGATTTAGGATTTGATTTTTCCAAGTTCTTAGGGCCATGTCTAATCAAGTTCCCTGATGTCTTTTCTTCTTTGTTGAATCCATCCAGCTTCTCTTCATCTTTAGTGTCCCTTCCATCCATTATAAACTACCTAAAGTCAAGAACCAAACTGTTTTCATAATAGGCAAGTTCCACTAGTGCAACCTGTAATACCTCCAAATGTGTAGTAAGTACTTTCCTGAGACTCAACTTTGTGGACCCTTAAAACTGCTAAGCTCAGAACAAAGGAAGGAGGAGGAGAGAGGATCACTCCAGCATCTGAGTGAAGAAAATTCAGAGTGTGTGAGGGAGGGGAGGGGTTAGGGAGAAGGGGGCAGGGAACTATTATAGTGGGTGGTGCCCACTGTATTTAGCCAAGCCACAGGTCTATGGAGTCTTGGAGATTACACAAGGGTAACTGCAGCTTGAGAAACAGTGGGCAACAATGTTAAGTGTGTGTGTTTCTATATAAAAAATAGGCACACCGAGTATAAACAAGCACAACACTAACAAGTAATCAATCCCGTGAAAATGAATCTGCTTAACTCCTCAATGGCCTTTAACATTACATGTGTCATTCTTTCACTACGAAACATCCAGAGTGTAACCTACTACAACAGACCAAACTAAGTCTTTTTACCCACAGTTCTTTCCCTGCAACACAGCGGAAGACAGCACAGTGGGGTCCCTAAGTCCCTAAGAGGCATCAGCCTAGTCTACTAGTAAGGAAGGGATCAGGGCATTTTTCTTTCAACCTGTCAGAAAGATTCCATCTAATTTTTTTTTTCTATGTTTGTTCCTAGGACAGTCTAAATTTCCTTCACTTGCCACATGGCATCATCTGTCTCCATCTTCAACATGTACACCAAGCTGGTGCTGGAGTTCAAGTGCAAGCACAGGAAGAGCTTCGAAGGAAACTTGAGTTGCCTACCACACCACCACCAATGTTTCCTCCAACCGCTGCCCAGGTTGACCAGCTACCACCAGTACCACAATCAGCCCAGCCACTCTGTCTCTGAAGGAGGTGACTCTATGCAGAGCAGCTACCACCAGTAGCTGACCAGCTACCAGCTACCACCAGTACCACAATCAGCCCAGCCACTCTGACCAGCTACCACCAGTACCACAATCAGCCCAGCCACTCTGTCTCTGAAGGAGGTGACTCTATGCAGAGCTACGCAACCAGGCATTCCAACAAGACACCAGCCAGCTGCTCAAAGAACTGGCTGGGTCTCCTGTAGAAGAACAGTGTTAGGAGTAAGTGGGTTTTGGAGAGCCCCACCTTACATACTTGTTGTCAACACGTGTTTAAGCCAAAGTCTGTTTCTTGAGCTTGGTTTTTAGAGGTTAAGGATGAGGGTATGTCCAAGAACAAGTACAAAGTGTGTAGGGGGCAGAGAGGGGGAGAAAGGGGTTTGCCGAGAGCCACTGCTCCCTTTCCCTTCACAGCTCGATCTCCTTTCACGGTCTATACCTCACGCGTTCAGATTCGTTCTCTCCTTACTCGTTGTTTATTATGTGCTGGGTTCTAGGCTAAGCAATGGAGATAAAAAAAAAAAAAAAAAAAAAAAAAAAAAAAAAGAGGAGTAAAATGCAATTTTTTCCCTTTAGGGGCTTATCAATCTGGTCATCTGTCTCTGGTTTGGAGGAATAGAGGTGGGCAAATCAGTAGTCGATGATTGTGGCTCAGTTTTGCATGGTGCACTTGAATGTCCTGTAAGTCACAGAAGGGAAGACGAAAGCAACTCTAGGGGCTTTGACACATAGATGTCCCTCTCACTCTCTCTTACATGCTCTGCATCCACTCTGCGGACACCAAATAAAAGTTTAATTGAACATGATCCCAGAATCCAGAAGGAGATAAATATAGATGAGAAGGCTCCAACCACATGCAGGGACAGGCCCACTTCCAGAAATGGCCCACTGAGGCAGGACTATGCCTCCCCAGTGGAGAACCAAACAGGAGACTTCCCCAGTAAACAGGCTGTGGGATGTGCTCCTCTCTCGATCCCCACCTTCTCACCCATCCACAAGGGAAAACATTCTTGATAGCTAAGAATGAGAATGGCACACAAGTATGTTCCTATTCATGGTATTTTTTGTTCTGTAACAGTTCACATTTTATTTATTTTTAAATCCTTATTGTGAAAGTATTACATATGTCTCTTTTTTCCCCCGTTGACCTAACAGTTCACATTTTAAATAGTACTTCCTGATGATACTCCAGCTGGCTCTTCTTTAACATGGGCAATGAGGACAGCAATTCACATTCAAGGGGTGGGTGTCATCACACCATACCAGGAAGGACAGCAGACACATCTGGGGGGGTTGAGAAGGTTTCTAAGGGAAGGAAAGATAAGAGACTGGGAGGAGAAACACCCCTGCGTTTGCAGAAGTCAGTACTGTTTCTAGGGAATTATCACACTGGCCTTGCTAAGCAGCCCCATGTTACAAATGAGGAACGAAATCTGGGTGGGTGGTTGCCTGAGAGGAATAGTTGTTTAGAGACACACTGAACAAGAAACACGCAGCCACACTGGTCAGATAAAGCTTCCACCATCTTTGCCACCACTCATACCTTCTGTACTGGCTGCAAGAGGGAAAGGAAACCTAGAGCTAGTACCATGTTTAGCAAGGAGAGTCAAACTTACCACAGTCAAAACAATCTATGCTTATTTACAAACGCACCATGAAGAATTTAGGGGCATTGTGTTTTCCTAGCTTCCTCTTACATTGTTTCTGGGATTCACCCAGCACAACTACCTAAAACAATCCCCCTAAACCAGGTCCTCAGAAAACAATTCCACATGTTACTCCTGCCTAAAGGAGTAAAGAACCAGGCTTAGGCCTACCATGGCTCAGCCCAGACTGCAGGACCAGCACCCAAGTTTTAGGTATTCTGTCAACTATAAATGAGTCTTAGAATTCTCACTAGACCTTACTCTCATCTATCCAGGTAGATTCAAACCCTAAAAGTATATCTGGAATCACCCATACAGGGTACACTGTTAATGGTCCCTCAAGTTTGTAATAAGCTTGGCCTACTCATGCCCCAACTCATGCCTTCCAAAGTGTTGAAACCAAATTTGCTTTCACAGACTTAAGGCAGCGAAGTGCCCAGAAACTTGGCAAGGCCAACCTCAGGCCAGGCTACATGTCCGAGGGGAGCTACAGCTACCAACCTTCTGTGATGTCATAATGCCTAACAGTGGGACAGTTAGTATCCCATCAATGCAGGCTCCCTAATTTCCTACAATCTCTCCTGAATTCCTTTATTAACACAAGTTAAAAAAATACGGACTAAAGTAAAGAGAGAACCTACGTGGCAATCAGAGATGACCTAGCAAAACTATTCATAAGGGAAAGCAGTTCTCCTCCAGCTAACACGGGATCTTGGCTAAATACACAATGACCTAGTTTAGGAGAAAACTTAAGAAGGGAGAACCACTGGAGAAAAATTCTAAAGAACTTAACCAATTATAAAAGTTACAGCATTTACATAGGAATTTTTTTCTCAAAATACAATGCTTCAAAGATTCTACGAGAAAAGAAGTGTGCAGGGCAAAAGAGATGCATCCTGGGCTCAAGAGTGAAAGGAAAAGTCCAGAAACAGCTTTGCTCTCATGCAAGCAAAGCAAAAACATCCCTGAAGAAGGGAGGGCAAAAGAGAAGTGGTAAGGAGGACGCCCAGTAGAAAAAGCTAAGGAGGCAGAGTAGAAATGAAGCAGAGAGGAGCGTATCTGCCTCAGTTGTTCCCGACTTCAGTTTTCCTCGTTGTTGAGGACAGCATACACATAAGCACTTTCAAAGCTACTGCAGTTAAAAAAATAAAAAATAAAAAGTCAGGACCAGCAGAACAATCAACACCACAAGGTAACATACGGCCCTCATCATTGCTCCCCTTCTGATGGGAATATGACGGTTCTATGGTCACTAAATATATAGATGTGGGAAGTGTGAGGAGACGGGATGCATAAGGAAGAGGGTGAATGCTGGGGTGGCTCACTCTGGCTCCTGCTATCAGTCTTTTTCACTCTGCTGAGGGTGGGGAAAAGCTGAGGAACAGGTGGGGAAAGTATAAGGAGAGGAATGATGAGTGGCCCTGATAATCAGAGGCAGGCCATCTGGAAGCCTCAAGATGACCAAACAAACCAGATGTATTTCAGGACAAGAAACTGAGTCCCTTGAGCTTAGGAAATATCTAGAAAATATTTCATCACAATGCTGAAAACTACACACACGTGACATGATGCAAAAAAAAAAATGCTCCAGTGAGGAACTTCACTGGAATCTCCCAGCAGGAGTTTATAAGTTAGACATACAAAAAACAAAACAATTATTAGATTCACATTTCCAAATTATCCACACGGAGTGCCTAGAGGTGGGGCTTAATGCACAGGTTGAAAAAGTAGGTCAAACACCCCGACCACAGGGTTCGTGCCGTTACTGAAGAACTCCAACATGCCTTCCGAAGGACTCTGCTACAACCACGCAGAGGTGGCGAGAGGAGGTTGAAGAAGTCTTCCTTCTCTCCAAAGCACTGACAGGAGAGAAACAGCATCCGTTCTGCTCACTTCTTCTCAAACTACAGGCTGCCTCCGACTAGATCTGGGGAAAAGGTGCAAGTATCAGCGGCTGGACTGTTCTTCATGCTGGAGAAATGGAGGAAACCTAAAGGCCAGAATCATCCTCTATTTTCCCGTTCTTCTGTGCTGCTCCAACTGGCTGCTAAGGGTCCCTCCATAAAGGCCCAGAAACTTTCTCTTGTTCCATGATAAGCTCTTAAACTAGACCAGTGGTCGGCAAACTCATTAGTCAACAGAGCCAAATATCAACAGTACAACGATTGGAATTTCTTTTGAGAGCCAAATTTTTTAAACTTAAACTTCTTCTAATGCCACTTCTTCAAAATAGACTTGTCTAGGCCATGGTATTTTGTGGAAGAGCCACACTCAATGGGCCAAAGAGCTGCATGTGGCTTGTGAGCCGTGGTTTGCCGACAACTGAACAAGACCACAGATGAGGGTTTTAGCATTTTGAGCAAGATAACTCTAATGCAACTGCCATAAGCCCAGCATGTTAGCATCACTAGCCTCTACCCAAAAAATACCAGTAGGATCTACCCTCCTTAGTCATTGGTACAATAAAAACTATGGTCCCACCAATGTCCCCGAAGGGAGATGGTACCATCTCCCTCTGAAAACAACTGAGTATCATCTGTCAGTGGTAATAAAGCACCCTTAGAAAATAACACTCGTCTGAACACTGGTCTTGACACCCAGCTACTCAAGAGGCTCCCATTTTCACTCCTTTCTAAAGATCAATATTGAGGTTGGTAGAATTTGTCTTAAACCCTCAAAAGTAACCAAATATTTGTGTCAGAAGCTATTCACCTGCAAGGGAGAATCAACAAACTTGATCCTAGAGAGGAATCGTCGCAGCTCCCCACGGCCAATTTTTGGGGTGGTCTCCTTTAGCTGGACCATTTGGCCCTCCATCACTGCCCACCGCAGACTTAGCTTGCTGACCACCAGGGGTGCTGGATGGCCTCTGGAGCTTGGCCCCGTTGTCCTGGTAACATAAAAGGCATCTTTCCAGATGTCGTTAATTCCAACTGAGGAAGGACAAAAACAAGAGCAGTTAACAAGGACAGGAGACTTCCATTAACAGTAGAGTGGTTTGGTTCAGCAGCCAGATTCATTCGTTCATTTACTCCTTCATTAACTCATACAAGAAGTTTACTGAGCACCTGAAAGATGCAAGACACTGAGCTAAACAGTGGGGTGCAGTGGCGAAGGGCTGGATGCCGGCAAAGCAGCACATTCTTCTGGGTTTTTGTACCATCAATTTTTTCCACTCACAGGTATGTTGTTTATTCATGCCAGCAAGGAAAGGGCAATTCTAGATACAGCGTGTCCCTCATCCCCATCTAACAGCCGGGCTGATGCTCCCCGGCTGCGCACTAGGTTCAGCTGCTAGTGATGACCATGAGCAGGCGCGGGACCAAACCTTTCAGAGCTTTAGCTTTATCATCCGCACTCCTGGTCTTGTACACGATGAGGCCTGTCAGCCCCATCCTCACCCAGATCTCCTGGTAAACGTGGGGGTAGGAGGGCTTCATGGGGACCCACACATTTTTAATGAGGCTCTGAAACTTCTCGCCAAGGACCAACGGCCCAGGCTGCCACGAAACTGCTCAGGCTGCCACGACCCACACAGCCAGCTCCTCGGGAAGGTCACCGAACGGTACCATAGTTTCTCTTTAGCTGCTTCTAAGAAAGCCCCAGGTCAGGAAACTGGAGGCTATCTCAACTATGGTGACCATTTGGTAGAAAAGTGAGCACAACCAACTAGAAACTCTGAGAATTCCTAGATTGTCAGCACATGATCATATAAGCTATTACCTATTTCTCCTCATCTTTAAAATATGTGTTGTACTAAAAATGGTCTTGGTTCTTAATTACCGTTATTAAATTGTGCACGAACAGTAATTAGTATGCTAATATTAAAAAATCACTCATTTAGGTCAAATTGCAGGATTTTGTAAGCTGACAGCTCCCTTAGTTAGTCCCCCACCACACACAAAGCCCATGGACAGGCGTGCTGCAAGCTCCCGATGCATCCCGATAAGTTCAGAATGCATTCGCTTCGACCTTAAGGCAAGTAAGTTTCTACAGAGAAAGCAAGTCTCTGAAGGGCAAGAGAATATGGAAGACGTAAGGAACGTGGCCAGTCTGGTCTTCCCATCCCCCCCGGCAGGAACAGATTCCCCAAGGCTAGCCTGGGGAGAGAACATCTGGGGCGAGACCATCAGACCCCTCCAGACTAGCAAGTAGCAGCGGCTAGGCTTTCAGGGCTCAGTTTCCTGAGTTAAAGGTCCCTAATATATGGCCCCAATTTGGCTATATGATACTATTTAGATACATATATGAAGTAAAGGAACACTTCCCAAATGTTAAGTCATGATGAGTGGTCTTTTTCCCTCTGCTTCTCCTGGCTGCCATTTCTAGGCAATGGGCATGTTCCCTTTAACTAGTCAAGAGAGTCTCTACTGATCCTAAACCAATGCCCTGAGAAAACAGTTTACCTCCATCATATGCCTCCAGTTAATTCTAAGTCCTGAGCTCCTAAAGAGTCAAGAAACTATTCTTATTTGTGCTCACAGCCCCTGGTGTAGTGCCTGGCATACAACTGGTGCTCAATAAACATCAGCTGAGTGAGTGGATGCATGAATCACCACCACTAAGAACCCTCTGGGGATGGGACCACACTTCCCCCTCAATTTACAGCAGATTAGAGGAGGTGGGTGCTCACCCCATGAACTGGGTATGCTTCCCAGAGGGAATGCCCCCGCAATGGCCCTGGGCACCATGAACACCAGGGAAAACCAGTGGCTCAGCACACCCCATGTCTGAAAGCACACATCCTCCCCTTGGGGATATGGTCTTCTCACACACAGCCAGCACATCCTCTCCCCGCTCTGTGTACACAGACTCCCACCGTCGCTGGCACTGACCCTCTGCAGCCGTCACTGTGCCCGTGGCATTGGCCAGATCCAGAAGAATGGAGGGGAACGCCGGGTGCAGGAGGTAAAGGTGGTAAAGGCTGGGTGGCTCGGTTCCCAGGAGAACATCCTGACAATGAGGAGCAAAAAGGAAAGCAAAAGTAACTCTGCATTCCCACACGTGATGGTCCTCAAAGGAGGTTACTCATTTCTCTCAGATGCTAAGACCTGATCCCAACTTCAAGGAGATAGAAAGTCCCAGACACAGGAGACATAGCCCTAAGGGCTCAAAATCCTAACTCATCACTAACTTCTTCAAACCACTGTAGCTAGAAAATGCTTTCTCCCTTTTAAGAAAAAAGGAAGAAAGGAAACATACATGGCCTGGGACAGAAATCTGAGGTAGAGACCTCAGAGTCTCCCCCTCTGGGAGCATTGGGTGCTGTGCAGACAGCCATTATTTATGTAAGAAAACATGCCAATGACGTTTCGTCTCATTGGATACTAAAGCCAATTGCCAAGTGTCAGGATGGGAGTCACAAAAATCTTATTTACAGAAATAAAGAGAAGGCTGACCAGACAGAGCTCGTCATTAATTATAAAACAAAAACTGCAAGGCCTGAGGGTCAGTCTCCAAGCTCCCCGTAGCAGGAGAAATGCACGCTGGGACTTCCTTTAACAGAGTAACTGCTGTGCACGGACGATATCCGGCAGGAGCACGCGGGGCAGCCATGCAGTTGCTACAGCGCAGAAATGCCGGCACGGGTTAGTAAACGGCTGTTCTACAGCGCTCCCTGGGATCCTCTTGGGTCTCCCCTCAAGGAGAAAGTGAAACCCTGAAAAATGACTATCCCCCCTGCTTCCATATTGTCAGCTCGGGAAGAAGTCCACTGAGGAGAAGCGTGGGTGGGAGGCCGGTGGCCACCACACTCCCACCACACGCTCACAAAGCAGAAGAGGGCTTTTCCACACACCCTTAGGGCCCAGGCATGATGGGGCCGATCTCTGGCTTAGCTACCAGGACAAGAGAACAGCCGAACTCCTTCCTCACCACCTACAGCACAAGCCCAAATTCCTTTTGAAATGAAAACCCAAGGTCTTACACCATTTAATCCGAATCTGCCGTTTCCAGCCTCCTCCCACAGTTACTTACCTGCCCACCCCATGCTTCAAGAATGTCTGGTGACTAGCTAAACACATGTCCCACTTTGCTCTAACTTCTTATCTTACTGCCCCGCACCCCCCAGACTAACTCCCCTAGCCAGCTCCTGCTAGAATACTGTGTGTCCTTAGGAACCCGCCTTGAATGCCACCTCTTTCCTGAAAAACTCTCTAATCTCCCAGACAAAATGAGTATCTCCTTTTTTGCTTCCACTTAAAATTCTTGTGTTTTCTATTCTCACATTTGTAACATGCCTTTTGTTATTTTCAGATGCTTACATGTGAGTCATCTGGTCCAATCCCCTCATTTTATTACATGAGAAAACCCCAAAAGTTAAAATGTTAGGTAAACTGCCCATAGTCACAAGTTAGGGAATAGCAGAGTGAAGTATAATCTTGATGTTAAGCCAATCTGATCCTCAATAAGATGGAATATATTAGCACTGTCATTCACGGATAAAGAGCTCAAAGCTCAGAAAAGTTAACTGACTCATCTGACAGCACACAGTTGGTGAGGTCAGGACTCTTCCTCCTCGGTCTCTGCATGCCCCCATCATTGGGAACCATTTCTCTTCTCCAAAGGTGCAGCACTGTTTCCAGTCTATCCTTAGGTCCCTACAGAGAACATGGTGCCTGACACAGAGTAGGTACTGGTCAACCTGTGTTGAATAAAATCAAGGTGGGTCTCCCTAAAAACTTATCAGCACATTGCCGAAACCAGTTTGGCTCAGTGGATAGAGCGTCGGCCTGAGGACTGAAAGGTCCCAGATTCAATTCCGGTCAAGGGCATGTACCTTGGTTGTGGGCACATCCCCAGTAGGGGTGTGCAAGAGGCAGCTGACTGATGATTCTCTCTCATTGATGTTTCTAATTATCCCTCTCTCTTCCTCTCTGTGAAAAATCAATAAAATATATTTTAAAAATAAAAATAAAAACTTACCAGCACCTCTTATTCTACCTGACTCATCAATAAAATACCACAATATAGCATGTAAGACTTTCTAAAATCCGTCTTCTGGTGTATCAGATCTTCTCTCCCACAATCTCCCCAAGTGAACTCTCATGTCAGCCAAGCAGGGCCCCTCTGTGTGGCAGCAGCCAAGGGGCTGTGGTCGGTTGCCCTGTGGCATGGCTGAAAGGCAAAGGTGGGAAGCAAAGCTCGGGAGGAAGCAGGCTCCTGCTCTGCCCACTCGAAGGCTGCTTTGTTCTACCCACAACCACGTGCAGGTGTGGCTGTCTAACGACACCTTCAGACCCAGCCAGCCCCACAGAGCAGCCACCACCCGGCAGAGTGACAGAGGGACCCTCCCAGGCTCACTCACGGAATTGGAGGGGGGAACTGGCAGCCCTTCAGCCCAAAAGAGGAAGACGGACTTCTGGTCCGAAGTAACTGCGGAGGTGGTTGGTGTTCTTTTCAAGTGACTTGGAGCAGTGTAATTCCAAATAACAGAGCCAGAGTCCCCATCCACCACCATCATCTGTGAGAGAGAAGACAGTGAGGAGAGCCCATCCTCAGAAGGGCAGCAGGCCCAAGGAACACAAACACACACACACACACACATACACACACACACACACACACACACACACACACAAATAACATTTATGAACAGGCTGAAACAGACGCCAACAGCATCGCCTCCCTTCTGCTCCTTCCCTCCTGCAGCGGCAGCAACGCTTCAGAACCATGATTAAGTGAACGTCGTCTGCTGTATGCTGTGCTGAGAGCTTCCGTGGCATGTGCAGCTCAGCCCTAGGGTAGTCTCCAATTTTAAAGAGCACCGTCCAAACAGGCAAAACATAAATCAAGAGAAAATGTACTCCTTAGCCGTATCTCTCAAAGGATAATTAAAGAAACTGAATTCATAAACCCTGGCATATAGCTCCTTTCCCCACGAACACCTCACACCCAACAGTTCTAGCGCCTGTCACCTGCCAAAACTCCCTCGTCTGCCTCTAGCCCAGTGTCTTTCACCCTTTCTCCTCAGTGTCTCTGCTCCTCAGTGTGTGGAAAGACTACATACACCTCTTTCTACCATCACTTCCCTGTTCTTCCTGTCTCTAGGGGCCTGCTCTTCTCCGCCCATGCTCAGACTCAGCCTTGCATAGGTCCTAGGGAGACAAACTCCTCTGAGTGAGCAGACAGGAAAAAAGACTCAGAGTTCCAATATTCCCTTTGATAGTCTTTGGAAGAAATGAAAGTCTAGAGACACAGCACTGAACAGTTTTAACCAGTCATGCATATTATCTCACTTAGCCGCCACAATAACCCTATGAAGTAGTAGGCAATGTTGTTACCCATTTTACAGATGCAGAAACTGCAGGTAGGCAAAATTATGTAATTGGCCTAAGGTCACCAATAAACAGTGGAGCCAGGATTAAAACCCAAGTCTTAACCACCCTACTGTATATATATACCCTCTTCCTCAATCCTGCCAGGAATGCCAATGAGCATTCCAATCTCTACCTGAAGTTCCTTGGAAAGACAATCAGATATTGCTTCTGGAAGGCTCTCCCTGAACTGACACTTGATCACAGGATCTGTCCTCTGCTCGTGACCCAAAAACCCTACTGCGTCCACACCTCATCCAAAGTCTGCAGCTTTGCTTTCAACTGACTTCATCCTGACCTCTCTGGTGGGAACCCTCAGCCTATCCTTATCTGTCCATCGGGCAAACCTCTTCTGCACATCCGACCCCCCGACCACCACACTCCATGAAGTGTCTCTTGACTTTTTCATTCCATCTGCTCTCCATGTCCCCGCGGCAGTGTGAGCCTCTGTTACAGCACAACGTGGCAGAGCTCTGTACAAACAGCCCCCCCCCCCCATTACTCTGAGTTACCGACAGTGGCCTGGCCTTCATTCACTGTGTCCTCCAAAGACATCATCTGGGAATCCAGCATAGAATTTGGCACACATGAGAGGTGATGAATTTGCTCTCAGGGAACAGTGTGCAATATATAGATATCTACATATTTTACAGTGAAGATAAACCAAAAAGCTAGGTCAATTGTAAAAATGAAAACTCTTGTTCTACTTCCAATGTTCAAGAAATGAAAACTGCCTATCCAATCATTATATCCTCACATTATGCAATCTCATGTAAAATGGGAAAGAACTATTCCGTGTCCTTGGGACAGGCCATGCCTTTCTGTCTGGGTCTCTAGTCTTGGTATTCCTGGCCTGGCATGCTTCCCCATCCGCCCCTCTCTTTCAAGTCCCTGCTCATCCTTCCCTCTTCTATAAAGTCCTCCATAACAACCTAGTCCCCACAGACATCTGCCTTCGCTAAAATCTTAGGTGTATATTGGATGCACAGAAGTATTACATGTATTTATGCCCACGTCAGAAGGCTCCTACTGCCTCGTTGTAAGTGAGGAATCCACGAGGTCTTCTGTGCAGGAAGGTTAGCCAGAAAAGCTTCCGATGCTACAGACTTGAGCACCGAGTTGTGAGTATTCACTTTATCCATTCAGCTAGACTTTAGTTCTTTGAAGGAAGGAACATATTTTGGCTTCTCTTTATTTCTCCCAGTGCCTAGTGCAGAGCTGCGCACAATGCATATCCTATATATGTGTTTTGATTGATTTGAGTCAATTGATTTGATTGATTTACCTTTTTCATCCCGACTCCATCCTGTATCTGCAGGAGGAAGTCTAACGTCTGATCGTCAGTGAAATACCCAGGAGTGGGCTGGCTACAAATGAGAAGGTAAGAGAGCGACAGTGAGAAAACAAGGACTTCTTTCCCTCCCTTCTCCTGCATCAATCCCAGATACCAAACAATTGCTCTGGGCAGTTTTTAAACACAGGAAAGTGATTCAAAGCGGCAAACATGAGGAGGAATGCATGCTAACCTGGGTAGGCCCGGAAGACTCAGGGTCCAGTGCGGTGTGAGGTTCTGCCCCCGGAGCAGGACCAGGGCCTGTCTGGTTGTGATCAGGAGGTTGCTGCTGTTGGAATCCGGTGCCTTCACCATCTGGAGCAGCTCAACACCGTCGCTGAATCACCAAGATCCCGACAGTCAGTCTCTGGATTAGATGAGGCTCCTGACCCACCTGTTCTGTCCTTTTCTCTTGGTACACACATTTGTATAACTTCAATATTCACCTCCGACCATTAGGGGAAGTCTACCATTCAGCAAACTCTCATTTTCCTGACCTTTAGAAACCAGGAATCCCTAGAAAATCCACGCAAGTTCATAAGGAACTCACAGAAGTGCCACATACCACTAGCATTGGACACTCTGGGAAAGAAAACAGAGCCAAAGAGAGCGGCAGGGAAGGGAGGTGCGGATCTGGGCAGGAGTCCTGATATTGCCATTAAGCGTGGACAGCGACTCCTGGTAAATATACACTGCATCACATTATTTCTTTCTCTGCACAACTGGGACCATTTTATTTAACATCTGTCCAATTCACTGGAACCATAGGACACTGCCTCCGAAAATGATTGAAAACTTCTAGTATTAAAGAATGAAGACAGTTATTACTAAATGGGTAAAATCCACTGCATGTGACAAACAAACTACATGCTTTTAGTTAAGAAGGAAACAAAAATAAAAAGTAAGATTTCATGGATGTTACTCTTTGCTTCTGCCAAAATGATTCTTCAACTAAGAGAAAAAAATAGAGGGAAAGTAGGGTAGATATGTCAGCAGTTTGACAGTTATTTTAAATAAACCTATCTCACAAGTGCCTCAGTTGGTAGAGCATGAAACTCTTAAATAAACCTATCTCCCTAATTTAAAGTTCCCCAGCCTCACCCTGACTCAGAACCTAAACAAATATCCTTCTTCCCAACCTACGTGCAAAGGAATCACACATCATCATCACTAACACACAGATATCAACACAGTATGCTATCAGGAAAATTCCTCACTCACTTTAACCAGATCAGAAGGTAATAACTTAAGACTATTACTGCCTCCCCCCAAACCTCTGCCCACATATTCACCAGCCAACCAAACGCAGAGACTCCATGGCACGTGAGAGCTTGAAACCCCAATGACAAGGTCCTACCTGTAAATGTCAATGAGTTCTGACAGGTTGATGGATCGTCGCTTCTCCCATTCCGGCTCTTCCATCTGCAGAGAAGGTGGCGCGCTGTCTCGATTTTGGGCCTGAACAAAAATGTCCCGCAGGGTGACAGCTTGGATATTTCCTAGCACCACAGGAAGAGCCAACACTGAGAAGCTGAATTGAATAGACCTCCCCCAGGATGAGGATCTGAGAGAGACTTAGAGCCTGACGAGATGGGTCTACCATAGCTCTCCCCCCAACCCCAGACGGGTCCAACAAGGAGTGAACTGGGAAGTGATTCTATAGATGCTGGACAAAGAATCTTCTCTTTGGAGTAGGCACCAAAGGGGAAGCAGAGTGAGTAACCTGCAACAGGTGGGGCAGTGAGCACTCCCTCCTACAGGAGGTGATGAAAGGGCTGGTGTCAGCAATTCCCCAGCTTTCACCCAGTCTCACAAAAGAGGCCTAATCACCTACATTCACAGGGAACAGTAGCAAAAACCAGCCTCGCTTCTTACCAAAGCCAAACAGGATGTAGACAGCCCCATTTGCAGTGATGTAGACCTGAGGACCAATCAGATTCCCCACTCCCACGATGTTGTACTTCACAGCTCGGCCCACTGGACTCCCTGTCCGGCCAGACACCAGCAGAAAGCACAGATCCTGCTGAAGAATTGAAAGAAGGGGGTCCAGTCAACAGAAGCCCTGTTGTTTCCCAATCAAACAGTTTCTCCACATAGTCATTGCTTCATTGTTAGCTAAGGATTCAGAAACACTTTCCAGGTTGGAAAGCACCAAGCCAAAACTGCTTTATTTTATTCCCTGGAAGTAAGAAAGAGAGGCAACTGTCCCCTCCCCTTTTTAGACACCTGCAGAGGGCATGTCGACGGTAGCTCAGGCAATTTCTCTGAAGTGCAGTTTTGGCTGATGGACAGTCTCTTGAGACCAGAATTCTAGCCCAGAGCTAAACACAGGACAGCTGACTCCTGGTCTCTGCTCTCATACCCAGAAGTCCTCAGTAATATTTGGTCAAGCAAGCATCAATGCAGACACTGATCTTTGGTCATAACATTACACATCTGGCCTGGCCATTCTCAACCTTACTCTCAAAGATGGGCAAGCTTTCTGTGAAAGGCCAAATGGTTAATACTTTAGGTTCTGCGAGCCAAATGTTTCTGTAGTTACTATGCTACCACTACAGAGTGAAAGCAGCCATAGGTAATACATAAATGTGTTCTAATAAAACTTTATTTATAAAAATAAGCAATGGGCCAAATCTGGCCTGCAGGCTCTTGGGGAGAATCACTGGTTGGGAAATATGAGGACTGTATCAATATCCTGACCTCAGTAAAGCTTTTGACGAAGTTTATCATCCTGAGTTCTTATGCATAAGATAAAGACAAGTGATTTTCAGTGTACCCGAGGAGGAGTCAGTGACATGCCGAGGGAGTTTTTAGTGGAATGCCACAGCACTCTGCTTTTGTCCCAGTCCTATTCGTCATTCCTGTCAAGGTCATGGGTTTGATTGGACACAATAAGAACCAAATCTGATTTGGCCATAGATTGTAAAAATAATAACATTACTACCACAGTATGTCTATAACAAGGCCACAAAACTACAAAGTGATAATTATTCAGAACAAACACACACAGATCTGTCTGGCTGCAAAGCTCCACCTGCCATAGTTAGTGGAACCATAATGAGATTGCCAGGGAAATGGGTTCATAATGGTAATTTATCCAGTTAAACTCACAAAGCAAACTTATTTAAAGCTAAGCCCTTGTAATAAGAGGTTTCGAGCAGCATTTCTAACAATACTAGGAACCAACTAAAGTAGAAGTGTTCCCAGTAGGAAACACAAGGACCATTTTATAGAGCATACCTGTGATTCCCCAACAGCCAGAACCACAAGATCTCGAATGCCATCTTCATCCACATCTGGCAGTACTACCCCTGGGGCAGCCAGGGTGCTGTTGGATAGGTAGTTTGGGTGTAAAGTCCAAATGGCTTTCCCTAGGGAAGGACAATAGGCTGATCACAATGATGGCTCTCTGCCTCCTGAAAAGGCTGGCCACGACGCTCCCAGGCCAGAAAAGAGAAACTCAGTGGCTGAACAACAGATAGTAACTCCTACTTCCCTTTTTCCTTTCTGGGAGGAATGGAGCAGAGAGTGTGAGATGAAATCCCCAAGTACCTAGCTAACAAGCCCATGTAATAACTTCACACCTGGACGTTTTAGATAAATGGAGGTATTAACATCTCCCCAAGAGAGAGGAGCCCACTTGTCCGGGTCAGAGGAATTGATCTGAGATTATTATAACTATTAAGGAACCACCAGGGCAGCCAACCAGAAAACTAACTCTCTCTCCTACCATGTGTTCAGCTGAGTAGAGAAATCAATCATGGATTTTCAACATGACCTCAGCTCTAGAGTTAACTCACAGGCAATCCTTTTCCATTCAGAAGTACCCAGTACCAAACTCCAACCTCTAAAATTGGGAAGGATGATATTTATTCAGTCCACGGTGTTAACAAGCATACCATAAGTATACTTGCAATTCTATAAAGAGCCTTCATTACACGTGATTCTTTTTCATACGTTTTTGTCATGTATGTCTAAATGCAATAGGAAGATTCACAGCCAAACAACATGCCTCAACAAATCTTACTTTCTTCACTGACATATTTTTAATTAGTTGTTGCCCAGGTTCATACACGCCACCTCAAAGCTATCAAATAGGAAGAGGCAATGCTCAGCTGTCTTTTATGGAAAGAACAGAGTAGGGAGACTATCTAGAAGCCAAAGGCTTCAAGATAGTTTCTGTTTGAGCTACACTCAACCTTTTCCCACCCTTTCTGTTATCTCCCTAAAATAACCGCCTTCCAAAGCAGTAAATCAGATTTTCCACCATGTGAGAGTGGAAGCTTCTCCTCTACCAGACCGTTCTAAAAGATCACTGGAGCAGAGATCTTTTGTGGCAAATGATCTTCACCTGATGTTGCATTGAATGAGCTGAACATCTTGTGCATCCCTGTCACAAGGCAGATGGTCCCGGCCATGCTTCCTGGCATCAGATCCAAACATGTAATATCTCGAGCCTCCTCAGCGAGAGGACTAGACCAGAGCGTGCTGCCGTTCATCCCCGAAAGGCACACGAGAACAGCAGGAGGCCTTGAGACACCTAAAAGCACACAAAAGAGAGGAGAAATGAAAGGAGGCAGAGGAAAGAAGTAGAGACGAGCAGGAGGCCAGAAAACCAAAAGTAAATGGTGGTAAGGCAGCAACCCACACCTGGGTACTTGGCTCCCTCCCATATTTCTGGTAACAAGATCTTCCTGTCCTGTCTGTTCAACACATCTTGTCCAGGACAAGAGCCCTGGACCTTCTCCAGGCTGCCTTATGCAACTCCACGCTTACACCTCTCCCGATACCTCTGTTCCCATGCCTGTCACCTGAGCCCAACAAAATACTGACATCCTTAAGGATAAAGACTGTTACATTAATTTCTGTACCTGCAGTACCTTACAAAATAGTGGTACATAGCAACCAATTGTTGTCTGAATAAAGACAGGAACAAAAAAAATTTTTGAGAGTATGAAAAAGTTGAGAATGACAACAACAATAATAATAAAATAAAATAAAAAACCAGGAGGGAAAAGTATGCTCAGAAAAATGAGGCTACAAAACTAGATCATCTGCAGAGCAGGGAGCAAAATACCTGGATTTTAATTATCACTAGCAAATGCTCCCTGAGGGCAGAAAAAAATGTTTTTTTTAATCAACCTTAAGTTTACACTTAACAACAATCAGTAGGTAGATCTTCCTAGCCTAGAGTTCATTGGAATCATCTGATTTGGCCCCAATCAGTAAAAAAATAAAATAAAATACTAACTGGGCAAATTTATACCTAGGTCAGTGGTCGGCAAACTCATTAGTCAACAGAGCCAAATATCAACAATACAACCACTGAAATTTCTTTTGAGAGCCAAATTTTTTAAACTTAAACTTTTTCTAACGCCACTTCTTCAAAATAGACTCGTCCAGGCGGTGGTATTTTGTGGAAGAGCCACAGTCCAGGAGCCAAAGAGCCGCATGTGGCTCATGAGCTGCAGTTTGCCGACCACTGACCTAGGACAAGGATAGCTGGTAAAGGATTAGAGCAGCTCACCTCTTTAATAAATAATCCTTTATGTCAATCAAAAGCAGATAGTAACTTTCTCTGGTGCCAGTTTTACATTCACTTTCAGTACTGACCCATCTCACACACTTTCCACCTCCAGCAACAACTAACACAGCTTTGGGGCCCCTAGTCCTCAGTGCTGCTGATTAAAATCACAACCTGAAAACAAGAGTCAAACTGTAGCTCACAGTTCCAGCATTGGTTGCCAGAAGCAGTGGCACCCATGACAAGGCGTGGTGATAAATGTTAGCATTCTGACTTCTCACAGATGCTCTGGCATACTGTGCTGCCCTCCCCCTGAGGGGCCCTACTGACTCTACATCAATTCTCTGACATCTTTTTCTGGATGGTGATGGGTTATCCCTTCCCCATTAGTCCATGACTCCCTCAGGCAAAGACCACACTCATTTTGTTTAGATCAATATAACCAGCAGAGCTCTGCGTAAGGTACACAGAAGGCATTCAATACATAATCACTGAATGAATGGATGGACAACAGAACAAACAACTAAAAACACAATCCTTCTTATGTTCAGGGGCACAGAGCTTTGAACCTGGGGTTAAGGGCAGCAATTTGATATAAGGGTCAAAAAACATGAACTCCATAGCCAGACTCCCAGGATTTGGGTCCCAGCTCTGCCATTTATCAGCTGGGGGACACAGGGCAAGTTCCTTAGCCTCACTATGTCTCAGTTTCCTCATCTGCAAACAGGGAATAATTATATCGTCTATCTCATGGTACTGAGATAAGGTATAAATTCTTCCATAATAAATGTTATAGACTTCATATGGTGCATAGCACATACGTTAGTGATGTTATTATTTTTACAATCTATGGCCAAATCAGGCTAGTTGTACTGTATCCAACTTAAACCCATGAGCTTGTCACTATGAATCCTGATATGTAGCAAACCATCAAATAACAAATGACCAAAAAGAAATCTCTAAATCTAAGCATGGATGGGAGAAATTTTTACTTCAAAGCCCAGCTAATGAGACATAAGCCGAAAAAAATATAAAACTCAGGTTCAATCACATACTCAGCTTTTTGCCTGGAGGTTCTCTCTGTAACAGATCTATCCCCAAATGGCTTCTATTTAGTGCACAAGCCCCAAAAGGGTATTTCTTATAAGATGAGGACATAGCCTAGAATTTTCTAGAATAGACTTGGATGTTTATTTCAGGACCTGAATGATTAAAAAGCAGTTACTAGTGCATCCTCAACCTCAACCTTGAGTTCCTATATCAGCTCACAGACTATAGTTCTAATCCCCTTCAACGGAGGCCACAAGACAAGCCAAAGTTCCCATGGCCTATGCTGAAAACCAACACCTTTTTTTTCTTCCTTTCGCAGTTAACCTGTGTAACAGACACTCAATTAGGGTAGGTTGTGAAAGGTTTACTAAGGAGACAAGATGTGGTCAGGGTATAGGAAAACCACCAGGTAAACCCCTCAGAACTGTTCCTGCTCCCAGGCTCAGAGGGACAGTGGAGGAAATGATCACTGGAACTCAGAAAAAGCAAGTCCTGTAAGAGGACCACCTTGACAGGAGCTGCAACCTGTGATCAAGGATGTAGCCGGGCTAAGGTAATCCAGCAATCGGGCAAGAAGGGAACCAGAGAATCAATCTCCCCTTCCCTCCCCTCCCCTCCCCTCCCTTACCCTCCTCTCTCTCTCTCTCTCTCTCTCTCTCTCTCTCTCTCTCTCTCTCTCTCTCTCTCTCTCTCCAATATCTTGCCTGTGCTACCCACTGGCCAAACCCAATTGGAAGTCCACATGCCAAACCCAATTGGAGGCCCCTGACATAATCCATGCATGATCATCCCCAAGCAGAAAGCAGAATGGAGACAAGAGACAAAGGGAGTAAGCAGAAGGAGTAAAAGGAAAATACCTAGGAAAGATGTATGTGTGATATATTAGTATGTTCTGCTGGGGATGGGGAGGTGGGAGAGTCAATATTTACTGTAATCTAAGAGGCAATGGAAAACAAACTGGGAGAAAACTCAAGAAACCGCAATACTAATGCTGAGCGCTGCGGACATGTGGGCAAGTCGCTTCCTCTCTGGTCAGCTTCCTCCCTGGACTGGTGACCACGAAGAGTTCCTCCCAGCTGCAGGGCTCAATGGTTCCTGGACCGAGTGGTGTTTAGAAGCAGGAACTTCCTGCTGGGGGTTATCTTGTGTGACAGCTCATGGTGCCTTCCTATTCAGGGGAGACCCTTTCCTACATGGCCTCTGGGGAGAAGCTTTCTGGCCAAATCACTGAGCTTCTCCTAGAGCAGCCTCTAAAAGACACGTCTCTTGCCGAAACCGGTTTGGCTCAGTGGATAGAGCGTTGGTCTGCAGACTGAAAGGTCCCGGGTTCAATTCCGGTCAAATAAATAAGTAAAAGACACATCTCTTACCAACGGCACTGCCATTCCGTGAAGTTACAAAGGAGAGAAGCACATCCCGCAGGCCATCTCCATTCACATCGGCCAACGCCAATGGAGACAAGTCCCCACCTGATAAACACATAAAAAAAAATCCTTAGCAACTTGCCACAAACCAGTTAAAAAAAGAAAGGGATGCATAGTTCCAGTCCTTCATAAAAAACAGGCAGACTTTTAGTTCCTAGATAAGAGAGAGTAGACACAATACTGCCTATTCCTCTCAATGAGTACAGCTAAAATCCCTGGGCACTATACATAAAGCAAATACGAGAAGATTCTGGAAGGTCTGGCCAGACCTTGAGCCTTACTTTTCTCTTTAAATCACCCTTCCTCCAGCTTTGCTGTCCCCTGAACAGTGTTGGCTGCACAGCAGGAACCCAGCAAGCCAATGCTCTGTCCTGTCTACATCTAATTAAGACCAATGCCACACCTCTTTCACCCTGTCCCCTCCCCTCTGGCAACCACCAGGCCCCTCTCTGTATCTATGAGTCTGTTTCAATTTTGTTCGTTCATTTATTCTGCTTTTTGGAGTCCACATGTAAGTGGAATCACCTGGCATTTGTCTTTCTCTGGCTGACTTATTTCACTGAGCATAATATCCTTTAGCTCCACGCTGTTGCAAATGATAAGATTTCATTCTTTTTTATGGCCAAGTAATATTCCATTGTATTAAGAAGTACAAATTGGCAGTCACAAAAGAGTCACAGGGATGTAAAGTACAACAGAGGGAATACAGTCAATAATATTGTAGTAACTAAGTATGGTGCCAGGTGGGTACTAGAAATATTGGGGAGAACACTTTGTCAAGCATATGATTGCCTAACCACTATGCTGTACACCTAAAACTAATACAAAATGATTTTAAAACTTAATTGTAATTGAAAAATACAATGCCAGACAGAAACACAACAAAGCAGTGATCTTCCCAAGTTTTCTGAGCTGTATCAATCCATCTTTTTGTTTTACTTCCAATCTTAACCTCCTGAAGGCAGCTCTACACACAGGGGGAGAAATGCTAGGTGACACACGTTAAAGACTTGGAGGAACTTTTCAATGCAATCAGAAGCTTTACAGAATTAGGGATAAAAATCCTGCAACTCACCTCCCTGGGGGCCCAAGTGGCGGCTCCAGGTGCTGTGCAGATCTCTGGGGGGACAGGGGATCAGGAACGCACATACGAGCACCAGGACCATCGAGATCACCAAGGTCAGCAGAAACACAGATGTGCGTACGTAGGACACGAGGGACGAGGTTGTCTTCTGCTCCAGGCCTCCGAGGGGTTCCGAGGGGTACCCCTCTGCGGGGCCCTCTGAAACATGTGGCTTTGCGGTCCCTGCCACCTCGGCATCTGAGTCAGGCTCTGGGGCTTCCCCCAGAGCACTCTTCCCATTTTTGACCCCTCCGTTCTTCTGCTGCAAGTCAAGCACAAGATCGTCCTCACTCTCATCGCTGTCGGCCTGCGTGAGGGGATCATACTCCCCTAGGTCTGGGCTCTTCTTCCCTGAAAAGACAGAAAGAGAGGGCTTCACAGAGGAACAAGGAAGGAGAAACCCTCACCAAGTACATGGCAACTGCAAACACCTAGGGAAACACACGGAACTAAGCAAACCGAAACAAATCTAGATTTATAACCTTGGACCTTCATGGCTCTGCAAAACAGACATCAGCATGGAGGAAATGATGGGGGAGGGGAGAAATCACCGTGTTCTAGGATCATTGCTCTCAGGAGTTTAAGAAACTGGGAAAGAAATGGAGAAAGAAAATTTCAAATACCTTTTTAGGTTTTTTGTTGTTGTTTTAAACTCTCCTTATTTGTTTGAATCTCACTAATAAAAAAAAAAAAAAAAAAAAAAAAACATGGTTCTTATATCATCAAACTTCCATGTGCCTAATATGAATATTCTCTTTGCTGTTCTTAGATAGGTGATGTTCTGATCTTTCCTGGAACTTCCCTAAACCTTTAGAATAATGATTCTCTATGCATTGCTTCTCACAGTCCAATATTTGTGGCTTCCTAATTGTTTCTATGAAACAATTTAGAAAGTTGAACACCAAATGCCACCTGGTCATTTTCACTGGAAATTCACTCCCAGGAACCTCACTGGGATTCCAATGCCTTTCAGTACATGTTTCAGTCAACAGTGTTTCTCTAAAAATGCTATTCTGAGCACATATTCCAGGAGGGAAAAGGAACACAGAGGTAAAGGACTTGTCTTGAAGTTGATTTACACAACAAGGACCTGTTTTTACTTAAACCTTATGTTTACTTGGGGGTGGTAAAGAGGCAGAAATTACAGGAGGGCTTAAGCACACCTCCTTGCAAGCCACCCCTTGGCCGTCGATCCCAATGACTGGATGATTTTTTACCTTTATTTCATTTTATAACCAAGTAAAAAAAAGAAAAAGTTTCTGTTTTGGAAATTACCTAGTAAGCTGTTACTAATGTAAATGTTACTTTAAATCTTTCGCTAAGAAGAAATATTAAAAAATCTAATTAAAAAGGGAAAAAGAAGAATCCTCGATCCTAATCTCTGTCTCTGGTCACTGTGATCTTGGTGATGTCACTTCCTACATTATGTCTTAGTTTGCTCAAGATGTGAAATGAAGCAATAAAACACTATATGGAGACCCATATGGGAAGTAAAGTCTTTAGTGTCAAGTTTAGTGTTTGGTACATAAAGTCAATAAATATTTGATTAAAAAATGAACATTCCACAGAATAATTTTATTAACATTAAGTACTTTGCAAAACGCACACACACACACACACAGAAAATACTGAGTAATCTGGCAGTCTGTTAACTATAGATTTAAATATATTTTCTTCAAAGCTATTCATTTTGTATGATAAATATTATATTTGATTTTAAAGGCAAAAATTGTTTTTAAAAACAGCTTTTAGGAATTTCATTCAGAATAGTATTTCAGGATATGCCATACAGTCACTACAGGTTCAAGCTAATCTCATCTAGTTTATATATCATCTAGAGGCCTGATGCACAAAATTCGTGCAAAGGAGTCAGCCCTCGCAGCCTTCGCAGCCTTCGCAGCCCTCGCAGTCCCTCGCAGCCCCTCAGCCTTGGCCAGCGCTCGCAGCCCCAGCTTCGTCCGGGAAGGTCATCTGGATGGTCATTCTGCTGCTTGATCTAATTAGCATATTGGCTTTTTATTATATAGAAGGATTCTATGAGCCTAATTATTTTATTAATTAGGGCATTTCATGCCCTAACCATCTCAGGTAACTTGATAATAATTTACAAACAGAACCACAGGTTGTTGTAATAACAGTAACCCTACTATTTTTCTAAGTGCTTCTTTTAACTAAATGAATATACCTCATAGGATCTTTAAAATGTCCTATATACAAAAATGGGTATTATTCAGCCCATAGGAAATTCTCACACAATGGATCTTCAGTATATTACACTAAATGAAATAATCCAGTTCCAAAAAAAAAAAAAAACAATGTATGATTCCACGTATATGTAGTCAAATTCACAGAAACAGAAAGTGGAATTGTGGTTTCTATCTTCACAAGAAGTAGGCTGTCAGCACGGCAGGTTAGAAAAGCAGCTGTGATGCAGTCAGTTGAGAAGAGGTGGATTTTTTTTTTTTTTTTTGATAGTCTGGATCCAATTAAGAGACAGAAACCAGACAGTAATTCAAAGAGGGCAAATTTAATAGAAGGACAGGGGAAGAAAACTCTAAAAGGCAACATACAATTGAAAAGAGAAGGCTAAAGAAGGACAAAGTTGACATTTAAAGGGCCTAGATCCACTTTCACACATCAGGCAGCAAAGGTGAATTTGGTGTTCAGGGGCAATATACTGACAACAAAGACAAGTAAATGCAAAACAAGCATGCCTAAGGCCTTGGGACAAACTGGCAGCTCCCAGCTAGGCAGGACAGTGACATCCACCAAGGAAGAAGAGTGGGGGCAGGTGGGGGGTGTAAGGAGAGATCTGAGCTAACAGACTTGCATTAAATTCTAGCTTACAACTGCCCTAGCTCACTCTGGCCCCAGCCACTGCTCACATGTCAGCCAGTAGCTAGCTGTTCAACAAAGGCCCATATAAATATCAATAGCAATCAGAAAGGAGCCATCACTAGTAGTCATTCTGTAAGAAACTACAAAGTTCTACAAATATTCAAGAAAAAAAGCTACAACAACACTTCAGACAAAATCAACTCAAGAACAAATGCTGGACAAAAGATACCATGAAATGTAAGAAATAACGAATAGCTGCTTTCCCCTGGAATTCAAGAAATTAAAGAGCCTTTTCTGAAATAAGAAAAAATATATTTCTAAGAAGAAAGTTCAATAAGTAAACAAGCAGGGCTCAGGAAAATGGAAGACAATAATAAAACAATTTTTTTAAGGTATCTTTGTTGGATCAGGAAAAAAAAAGAACAGACTCTCTGAAAATAGAGTCAGAGATATAAAGAACGGACTGGTGAAAATCAAGAAAAGTGAAATGTAACAATGGCTGGCAATTCTGAGCCCTTACTATGCACCATTCAAGCCCTTTCACTCTCATCTCAGTAAGCGTTCAGAACAACTCTTTAAGGTAGACGCGTTATTATCTCCATTTTAATGATGAGGACCACGAGATTTGGAAATTTATCTAACTGGCCCAGAGCTAAACAGCAAGAGTGATAGTGCAAGAATTCAAACCCAGGCGATCCAACTTTGAAGTCTGTACTGACTACTACCTATGTGCCTCCCACAGAAAAAAGCAAGGCTGTTTGTTAAAAGACTAAAAAGAGCCCTGGCCAGCGTGGCTCAGTTGGTTGGGCGTCATTCAATGCACGGAAAGGTTGACTGTTCAATTTCTGGTCAGGGAACGTGTCTGTGGTTTCGGGCTCAATTCCACCATCCCCCTCCCCTGTGTAGGGAGCGTGCAATAGGCAGCCAATCAATGTTTTGCTTTCATGTAGATGTTACTCTCTCCCTCTTCCTTCCTCTCTCTCTAAAAAAAAATCAATAAAAATATTTTTTAAGAAAACTAAAAAGGTATGACTATGGAAAACAAAGGTGATCCAGTATATGCATAACTGAAGAAGAGAACAGAAAAGAAAACGGAAAGAAAAACAATACTTTAAAAATATACACAAAAAAAGTTCCTGCAATAAAGCAAGACCTAACACTGCAGAATAAAAGATAAAATGAGTCCCAAGAAAAACGGATACAGCCCTGCCAGCGTGGCTCAGTGGTTGAACTTCAACCTATGACCCAGGAAGTCATGGTTTGATATCCGATTGCAGGCTTCATCCCCAGTTGTGGGGACATGCAGAAGGCAGACAATCAATGATTCTCTCCCATTATTGATATTTCTATCTCTCTCTCCCTCTTCCTTCCTCTCTGAAATCAATTCAAATCTATTTTTTTAAATAAGAAAATTCTTACAACACTGAACTTCAAGGACAAAGAAAGAATCATATGAGCAACCAGGCCAAAGGAAAAAGAATCAAATCACTAATAATGGGAACAAATATCAAGCTGACTTCTCCTCAATAACATACATTCCTAAAAGATCATGCTACAATATGCAAAAAGTTTTGAGAGAGAAAAAACATGGGTGTGCAATGCAAGAACTTTCATCCAAGCATGACATTTCTGAATTATAAAGGCAAGCATGCAAGAATTCAGAGGCTATCTTACTCTTGTGTCTTTTTTATAAAGATCATAGAAAATGAGGATCAGCCGAGACAGGTTTGGCTCAATGGATAGAGCATCGGTTTGGAGACTGAAAGGTCCCGGGTTCGATTCCGGTCAAGGGCATGTACCTTGGTTGCGGGCATATCCCCAGTGGGGAGTGTGCAAAAGGCAGCTGATCGATGACTCTCTCTCATCGATGTTTCTAACTCTATCTCTCTCCCTTCCTCTCTGTATAAAATATATTATAAAAAAGAAAAAAAGAAAATGAGGATCAATTCTTGTCCAAACTCTTAAAATAAATATTTAGTTCTACAGTATTAGCAGTATATATTTCTCCAGGTGGTTCAAAAGCAAACCTCAGCTTAATTATTGTGGACTGCAAGTTTTGGTTTGAGAACTCCTAAGTAAATTTTTTTTTTTCTGTTTCACAGAAAGACAGCATGAGTTGAGGAGATAATATCAAAACCATGCTTCTAAGCTCAGGGTATTTTAACACTCTCTTCTCTGATGATTTCAGTTACCACCATATTTTTAAAACCAATAGAAGGTTTTCAAAGAATTTTTCAAAAAATAAGAATATTATAATTCACAATACACCAATATACATGAGCTTTCCATAGCTATCACTTTTCCCCATACGAAGACTGAGGATGCTGGTTACATAACCATTCCCAAAATGGTACAAAGGAAACCATAAATAGCACAGAGATGCAACTATACCATCCACAAAGGTTCCAAGAAAATATAATATATGCTCCTCTAGAGTCTATACTTTGCATTAACTCTACTGCAATGAAAGGTAAATAATTAGTTTACCCAGGGTGCATAATCATTCTAAGTTACACATAGTAAAACAAATCACTTCAGTAACATTATGCTCTGATGTTCCCTTCAGTGTTTGACCTTCAAACTTTAAAATGAACTAAGAAAATATATACGTAAGAGGTAATTGTCCCACAGGCTGCTTTGTGAATGTCACATTGTCCTTCCGTTATTGATTAACCTCATTCTATGCACGTGAGCCAAACATCTTTCCATCTTGAGCTTGGTGGAAGGGTATGAGGCTGTGAAGCCTGGCTGCTTTTTCTTCATGAGGATGAGGTTATCTGTCATTACCTCACCATTACATCGGGCCTTCCTTCAAGGGTCACATTCATAAAAGATCATGGTGCCGCTGATGATGATAACAGCTAACCCTTATTGAATAACATGCGTCGAATGTTAACAAACCTCTCAAGTATATTCATCTCTTATACTTTGCCAAATAACCCCCATGAGGTCAATGTGTGTGTGTGTGTGTGTGTGTGTGTGTGTGTGTGTGTGTAATACAGTGAGTGTTCCATAAAAACATTATAATTACACATTAAGAAACTGAAGCTTGAAGAGATTAAGTAACTAATCTGGTAAAGACTGGATTTAAATCAAGTCTGTCTCAAGCTCTTAGTCTCCATTCTATTTGGCTTCTTTACACATAAAAATAGGAAGGACACCATTGTGGTGATCATTTCACAATATATACAAATCCTGAATCATTACGTTATGCACCTAAAAATAATGTTATATGCCACTTCTGCCCCTTTAAAAAAAATAGTAAGTTAACTAAGGTAACATGACAGTAATCCCTAGGCCAAATAATTACAGTGCATCCAAAAAAGCTAAAAGAAAGCAACTTTTATCTAATATAAAAGCAAAATTTTAAAAATGTATTGGGGTGAAAGGAAAAAACAGCAAGAGAGAGCCAAGCTAAAGTACAAGCTGGGAGAAAAAAAAAAAAAAAAAAAACATATCACATAAAAGAATATATGGTTACTGTATCTGGGCCTAAAAAAGTATCAAAATGCTTGACTGCTCAGGGCAAGCTACTGTGCAAACATAGGCTGAAGGACCAGACTGTGTTTTCTCTACCCTATCAGATGACCAAGTTACTGAAACTGAACACTACAGGGAGTAGAAATGCCACCACCTCATTATTTGAGAATGCAGACAAACTCAAGAGTTTTGAACACAAGATTTTCTTGCATTCCTGTCCTCAGAGAATAACTATTACCTATGCTGGAAACTAAAAGAAATAATGCTAAATATGGTTGACCATCTCATTACCTCCCTTGGGAGAATATCATGCTACACTAAGGATACATAAGGCTACTCTCTTCAAGGTAAATTAATCCTGCAGGTACAGAGACATGCCCCCCATTTTATTTCAATGTTACATACACATTCCAAAACGGATAGCATCAATGTTCCCTCCAATGTTCCAATGAGCCCATGTGAAAAGAAATGTCTTAGATTGTGAAGTCTGGAGACAAAAATGCAAATTCATATCAAATCCATACCCAGCGCAGTCATCCAAGGCTCAGTGGGGCAGGCTGCAAGCTGCTTGACCCTGCAACCCCCCCACCCTGCACCTTATGCTGGCTATCCACCAGATACACAACTAGCCCTTCTAAAGCAGTGAAAACAGCTGCTTTTCCCACTGAACCCTTAAGTGAACAGCAAACAAATGTGTATAGTTTAATGTCTTAAATGTATTTATGTGGAAGCATAAAAACTTTAAAGTCTTAACGTTTACATTTTATTGGGGCAGAATAAAATATACATTTACTCTAGCAGCACGGTTCTGTTCTGAAGATTAAAAACAAAACAACAAACAAAAGCTTGGAGCTGCTGCCCAAAGTACTGAATGAGCTCTGGAAGTTGTCCTCTTTATAAATAATACCCCATACCGTCACCAGCAAGTTGCAGGTGCCAGATCATCCCCCTCCTTTAGACGCTCAGCCTGGACAGCCAGAGGCTGACCAAGTGGAATCAAAAGCCCGGGACCTAGCGTTAAAAGAACCCCCTGGCATTCAAGTTCAGGTTGCTTTTTGTTTTTTGTTTTCCAAAACCGCTTTGCGACTTTGGATGAGTCAAGTCAGCCAGATAACTCTCACTTTCCTCTTCTGTACACTCGGGGGTTAAAGACCTGCCATTAGGTGGAGAGGCTGCCCCAGAGGGTCACAGGTCCTCGGCCGCCCCCGCCCCAGGTGCAACCCAGGAGAGAAGGAGCTGGAGACGCTCGGGAAAGGATGCTCCCTCACAGCCCTTCCTTTGAGGCGGCGGCGCTCGCTGACATTCGCCATCGCAGCAGCTCAGCCCGCTCCCGGCACCTGCCCGGCGCGCCTCCCGCGTCCCTCCCCGCCAGGGTCCCCCGTGCCCGCGGTCCCGCGACCCGCCTGGTGCCACTGACCCCAGCCCAGCCGGGGGAGGCTGCACCGCTCGCCTCCTCGCGCCTGCAGCTCCGCCTGGGTTAGGACCAGGGCCCGACCGGCTTCACCCGCAGAGCCCTGTCTCCCCAAGCCCGGTGGAGGCGGGGTGGTCTCGAGGCTGCAACTCCTTACCCGGGAGCTTGAGCGCCCTGGACAGCACTGTCGCCATGGCGGAGGCCCCAGTGCGCGTGCGCGCGCCCGCGTGCTGCCGGGAAATGTAGTTCCGGGCGGAGGGTGAGCGGCGCAGGGTCCCAAAAGGTAGGAGCTGCGCGGGAGAGTCAAGTTCAGGAGGCGGGGCCGGCTGGCGGCCTCTAAGCCCACGTGCAAGCGCCCGCGGGCTCTTCTCTCACCCACTCGGAGCCAGGTCCCTTACTTACTTGGCAAGTGACCTGAGTCTCACCTTATCCTCAGTGAATGGGGAGATAAAGCCTACCACGTAGGTTTGCAGGGAGAAGGGTATGACGTAACCGGCTCTTGTGTTGAGAAATGCGCCCAAGGCTTTGGAGATAAGACAGAGGGGATTTCAGTCCTGCCTGCATCCCTTACTAGCAAGGCCCTCTTGGGCAAGTTACTTGGTATGACTAAGTTTCAGCTTCATTTTTTTTTTCTTTTTTGTAAGAGAAGATTTATTGGGTAAATTACAGAGGTAGAAAAAGTAATTCCTAGAAGAAATAGGCGTAGGAAACAAGTCTAGAGGTAAAGGAAGGGCCGTTGGAGCTTGTGAGTGAGGAAGCTAAGGGTAAGGTTGGGGTGGGGAGCGCGGGAGAAGGGGAAGGACTAGGGAAAGACATGGGCGTGCTCCCTGGAAGGAGAGAAAGCTTAGCTTCATTTTATAAAAGGAGACAATGCTATCTACTTCACAGGCTTACTCTGAGAATTGATTATATAATCTGTTTAAAACACACAGCGCACAATGGGCAACTGTTTCTTTCTTAGGAAAAGGTCGAGGCTTCCTGGAGCTGTAACCCTAATTTCTTATTACCAGGTTAGGCACTGGACACCCTACCCGCAGCTCTCAGCTTGAAGGGTGTAGGAAGCAGAAACTGGCCTGCTTCTCCTTCACAGGCACCTAGAGATCAGCATTTTAGTGCAAGAAGGCTGATGATATCTAATCCTTCCTCTTTGTTTTACTGAAGAGAAAACTGAGTTCTAAAAAAAGTGACCTAACTTCTTAGTGTCAAACAAAAGCTCTAAGATATCTCTCAACTTGGAAGCTGCCTCATTCCCATGAAAAACTGTAGATGGTTCTATTCTGTGGAAATCTGAGAAATTCATAACAGCTATCCCTATCACCCATTTCCCCAGGGGGGGGAGGTCACTGACTCTGACAGAGCACAGATTCTAGAGCCAGGTCATGAGTTCAAACCCCAACTTCACCATTTCCTAGCTGTCAAATCTAGGGCTAGTTGCTCAGTCCCTCTCTGCCTCAATTTCCTCCTCTGCAAAATGGGGGTGAAATAGATCTTATTCCATAGAGTTGTCCTGAGAATTAAATGGATATATGCAAAGCACTGAGAACAGTGCCTAGCACCTAGTAGGTGTTTTATAAGTGTTAGCTCTTTCTTTTAATAGTAATTTATTAATATTTTACAATTTAATAATAAATATAATTTTATAGGCAGTGGAATATTTTGGGGGTTTTGTTATTGTTGTTTTGCCTTCTATGATACCCCAAATTTCTATTGTTTGCCACTTTTCTGGGGATAAGTTAAAAACCATATCTGAGTTAGTCCAGAGGCCGCGGCTGCAGAGGAACTACTGAGAAGCTGAAAAATGTCCATGCACGGTGCCATAGCTGTGGCCGGCACTCTTCCTCAGCGGGCCAGGCTTGTGTCCAGAACTGCTTTGGGATCATCCTTCATTGCTGCAAGTAATCTCCATGTCTCTAACACTCGTCTTAAGAAGATTGGCCCTGCCACTGCTCTGTTATTGAAGAGCAGATTCTTGGAGCTCATAACTCTTTGACCGTAAGGGACTGGGCATGTCTTAAGTATTGGTGATGGTATTGCCTGAGTACATGGGCTGAGGAATGTTCAAACAGAAGAAATGGTAGAATTTTCTTCAGTTATTGAACTCAACAATGTTAGTGATGTGTTTAGAAATGATAAACTAATTAAGGAAGAAAATATTGTGAAGTGCACAGGAGCCATTATGGATGTTCCCATTGTTGAGGAGCTATCACATCATGTAGTAGATGCCTTTGACCATGCCATGAATGGAAAGGGTCCAATTGGTTCCAAGACCCATGGGTGAGTTGGCCTGAAAACCCCTGTGATCATTCCTCAAGTTTCTGTGCAGGAACCAAGGCAGACCAGCATTAAGGCTGTTGATAGCTTGGTGCCATTGGTTGTGGTCAGTGTGAGCTGATTATTGGTGACCGACAGATTGGCAAAACATCAATTGCTAGTGACACAATCATTAACCAGAAATGTTTCAATGATGGATCTGCTGAAAAAAAGAAGCTGTGCTATATCTACACTGTTACTGGTCAGAAGAGATCCACTGATGCCCAGCTGGTGAAGAGACTTAAAAGTGCAGATGCCATGAAGAACACCATAGTGGTTTCAGATGCTGCCCCACTGCAGTGCCTGGCTCCTTATTCTGGCTGTTTTATAGGAGAGTGTTTTAGGGACGATGGCAAACATGCTTTGATCATCTATGGCGACTTATTCAAACCTGCTGATGCTTATCGCCAGATGTTTTTGCTGTGTGCCAATCCCTGATGGTGAGGCCTATCCTCATGTGTTTTCTGTCTGCATTCCCATGTGCTAGAAAGAGCAGCCAAAATGAATGATTCTTTTGGTGGTGGCTTCTTGACTGCTTTAACAGTCACAGAAACACAAGCTGGTCATGTGTCTGCTTACATCCAATGAATGCCATTTCCATTGCTGACAGACAGATCTTCTTGGAAACAGAACTGTTCTACAGAAGTATCCACCCTGCCATTAACATTGGTGTGTTTTGTTGTGTTTTTTTTTTTTGGGGGGGGGGGGGTTGTGTTTTGTTTTGTTTTTTTGTTTTTTTGGGGTGTGTGTGTGTGTGTGTGTGTGTGTGTGTGTGTGTGTGTGTGTTTGGGGGGTTTTTTTTGCTTTCCACTAATTTTATATGAAAATACCCTTTCCTCCCATTTTTATGACACCGTTTTATTCTTGCCAAATTCAGCCTCCCTCCCAGCAAGCTCTACTGCATACCCAAAAGAGCTGTTGGAACCCTCATGAGGCTATTTACCCTTCCCTCCCCAAAACTTTCCATCCCAAATTCAGTCTGTCTTAATACTCTTGGGAAATTTCCTCTCTGGTGGACAGTACCAGGCACCATAATTCCTTGGCCTTTGCTCAGAAGGTACTATCCCAGGGAATCAAAGAAGAGAGGCAGCCCTAGATGTAGAGGAGGGGCCTTTGTGTATTCAGCCAGAGCACAAAGGCTCCAGGGCCTGTAGCTTTGGTTTGCCTCAAGAAAGTGAAATTAGAGTAGAACTAGGACGCTCATTGGTAAGCTCATCCATGAAATCTAGAACGTTGCTCAGAAGAACTTTGAAAGTGGGACATTCATCTGCTTCCTCATGCCAACAACTGTACCTGATGGTATACACCCTTTCTGAAGCTAGATGAGGCCTGTAGAGACATAGGCCTTGGGCAATATATTCAGCAGTTTCACTGTTAGTAAATCTCTCATATGGCATCTTCCCCAGAGAGTAAATTTCCCACATCAAAACCCCAAAAGCCCAAATGTCAGATTTGCTGCTGAACTTGCTGTACATAAGTACTTCTGGTGGAGACCACTGGACTGGAAATTTGGAGCCTATTGAGCTTGTGTATTCATCATCCAGAACATACCTCAGTTGCAGGCTCGATGCCCAGTCCCCAGTCAGGGCACATGTGGGAGGCAACCAATTGATGTGTCTTTCTCACATCGATGTTTCTGTCTCTCCCTCTCTCTTCCTATTCTCTCTAAAAATATCAATGGAAAAATATTCTTGAAGAAAGAAAGAAAGGAAGGGAGAGAGGAAGGGAGGGAGGGAGGGAGGGAGGGAGGGAGGGAGGGAGGGAGGGAGGGAGGGAGGGGAGGGGAGGGGAAGGGAGGGAGGGAGAGAGAGAGAGAGAGAGAGGGAGAGAGAGAGAGAGAGAAGAAGAAAGAAAAAGAAAGAAAAAGAAAGAAAGAAAGAAAGAAAGAAAGAAAGAAAGAAAGAAAGAAAGAAAGAAAGAAAGAAAGAAGGAGGGAGGGAGGGAGGGAGGGAGGGAGGGAGGGAGGGAGGGAGGGAGGGAGGGAGGGAGGGAGGGAGGGACAAACAAAACATTGGTTTGTCTATGTTCTGAGGTGCATCTGCTGCCCAGCGCAGGGCTGTGAAACAGTGGCAGGCATCATGAAGCTGGAATTGGTATCGGGAGTTGCTGCTTTTGCTCAATACTGTTCTGATCTCAATGCTGCCTACCACTTAATAACTCTTGGTGTGCATCTAAGTTCTGAAGCAAGCAGAGTATTCTCCCATGGCCATTGAAGAACAAGTGACTATTTATGTCGGTGTAAGGGAGAATCTTGGTAAAATGGAGCCCAGCAAGACCACAAAGTTTGAGAGTACTTTCTTGTCTCCTGTTATCAGCCAGCACCAAGCCCTGTTGAGCAATGTCAGGGCTGGTGCAAAGGTCAGGTGCAAAGCTGAGGTGCAAAGCTGAGATTGTAACAAACTTCTTGGCTGGATTTGGAGCTTAAACCCCTGTGGAGTTTTGTCATTGTTTCTTCTAGTAGTCAGTCCCGTTTGTAAAAGAATTACCCTCATACTCCAGATGTACAGAAATCACCTAAAAAACAAAGGTTCCGTATTGCAAAAACATATACACAGTATATCTTATCTTACATCTATGTAGGTCATCTGGGAGAAGAAGCAACACTAGAAGTCAGTGGTGGCTTGCCTCAGATCAGATTAGTTCATTTGAACTCATTCTTGAGATATGAAAATTGATCAAAAGGACCTTTCAGGTGAGCAAGATATAGAAAATGTCCATTTTAGCTGCAGAAGAACTTGCATTTCTAGGAGACAGTACTATGGACTGGAATAGCCAGGGTACACAGGAGAGAAGGAAAGAGGAAATCTGCCCACTTCCTTAGTGAAAGGGGATATCCTAGGAGAGTCCCTTCCTATGCAGTGGAAGTAAAATAAAGTTATGCAGT